GGAGGGCGGTTGTTCTGCCACAATGTGCTCTCTTGTGCTCCACTAACTCTAGATGTAGTCTATAGATGTAGTTGAGAGTTTGTAATAGATTAGCCAGAATGAGTATCGACGTCGCTGCGCACACCACCGTACTCAAGAATATCTGGGTGAATTATTTATCAAATATTTGAAGGAATCACAAGAGGACCCGCAGCGCACACAAGCAGCATTAATGTGGTCCTCGCTATGTAGCGCTGACACTAAATATTTGGCCAATATTTGGTGGAGGGGGAGTACCCTCCTCCCCTCGCTCCTACATACATCCCAAATATTTGGGGTTCGCCTCGAATATCTGGGAGGGGCATCCCTCCAACCGTCTCAAATATTAGGAGGGGCCACTATAACATTTGGGCCAAATAATTCGCGTTTTACTATAACTATAAGGATCGAAAAATTTATCTAACTGATATCCCTGATGCTGTTGTACATGCCGGGAGTGTTTGTGGACACGTGGAGGGGCGTCAGGTATGCTGTGTGTAAAGAGAATTCTTGGCAGCATCTCTGGCGACAAGCAGATAGCCATGCTGCAACCTGGTACCCCATACACGGATTACCCGACACAGACCCGTAACCGGGATCTCGGGTATGTACCGCGCGGGTACAAGCCAAGTCAAAACGCGCACGGGGGCCATCGCATCCCAGTTTTTTTTCCCTGTTCTGAAATGTGACGTCCTCCAAAGTGGTGAATCTTTTCACCTCTAGCGTCGAATTTCTGCCGGTGAGTCTGTCGAGCATGCTGAGTCCAGTAGCCATACATCACAGCTCGAGAATTCGACATTCAGTACAATGTCCCAAACACTGAGATCGAGCATCGGTTATTACACACCGGTGTGAGATATTCCGCGACGTGCTCATGGCCACCTGACGTACTCCAGCGATGCTGAGCACAGAACAGTACGGCACATATTACGCGTGCTTTTCGCGAGTCAAGGCAGTATGCCAGCCTTGGCTCAGTCTGTTCAATCTGCAATTTTTAAGAGCGACACGCCCTTGCGCGATGCCTAAGGCATACAGAACAACAACAAAGGAAACGACGCTTTTAGCAGTGGAGGACGCGCACCTGGATGAGTGGGGAGTTATGGTATGATGACGATCACCAACTTCACGTATTGTGAATTAAGCGCTCGTCGAACGAGATCGGCGAACGGCAGATCTAGATAGTGAACCTATGCGGCAACGGCGGTGACGTACCTGCCCACGGAGCTCCCCTTGCCAACATCACTTCGGCACCTTTCAAACATGTGAGACCTCGCATGGCTGCAGTCACCTCTCTCATGGTATGTGCATAGCGCACGAACAGACACGCTGATACAAAGCGACATCGCGTTACTTGAACATGAACACGGACTCACAGGACGGCGTCCAAGCCCCTTTCGCAGGCGGTTCCAATTCGACGGCAAAGATCACGTGAAAAGCAAGCACTGGTCGCGGCCTTCGTACGCCATGGCCATGAGTCTCGTGTTTGACCTGCACAGAATCCTTGTAGCCATGCATTCAACACGAAGGTCTCTGCTCTCCGGTCTCTACTCCTCTCGGCTCATGGTCTCGTCATGTATCAATCGGCCGAGGTGGGGCTAGCTATGAGACGCGAACTGCAGTCGCAGCGACCTGGTGAGTGGTGCTTCTCCGAATTCATCTTCCTTGCCAGTCTTTTGAATGAGGCAGGTGAGTACTGGGGCGGACGAGTATGTACCATGCCACGCACCGAAAAGCTTGTGACAGGTGATGGGCCATCATAAGGCGATCGGCTGAAGCCTGCGCGCGTATCAAAATCTCTCCACAATTGCCTGTGCAGGTTCATTGGTAAGTATGTAGCTCTGCCGCCGACCGTGCTGATGTAGCGCCTGCGATCGAGAGGCCTATAAAGGCTCATACCGCTTGCCTACGTTTTTGAGACCCGACCACCATGCAGCGATCACTCCCCCTCCTCGTTCTTCTTACAGCCTGCATCTACGGCATCCAGGCTACCTCTCTGGTTGTCGATACGCCGTAGGTGGTGTGGTTACTGTCCATCCAATCGTCACTCATAAACGGCCGATCACTGCTCAGGACCGAGATTATTCAATGTGGGGTGACTAACATCACTTGGTCAGGAGGAAGTGGTGGGTCAAGAATTGTAATGATACGATTCCGAGATACTGACATTGGACGACATATCTACAGGCGTATACAGCTTGGTGAGATGACATGTTTTCAAATACGCTGCCTGTGAACGCCCCGCTGACGAATCGCATACCGGCTCCGTAGTCGTAAGTTCGATACCGCCGTCTCTTACAGGCTATGGACTGATTGTTCATGCTTTTCATTCACAGGATTAGGGACAACGGTGAGGTTGTCGAAGACTCGGCGCGCCTGTCCGAAACCAGCTTCCAGTGGGCAGGCTACGGAGCGCCTGCCGGTACGTTTTTCGCCATCCATTGCGTTTGTTATGGCTTACTTGATGCGGGGTTATACTGATAGGCTCTACCGTTGTCATTTACGTAACCGATACCGCCGGGGACGGAGCATCGACTGCGCCTGTCGTAGTCTCGCCCAGCTGTGCGTTTTGTTTTGAATCTATCTCGAACTGACGCGCTGACATCGCGAATGTGTGCAGCGGATTCGAGCTGTCTGGGTCCCGGCTTCTAAAGCTGTATGTATTGATTGTATATCACCACGCATGTTTTGTACGACAATGTTGGAGATCACGTATTGACTTTAGTCCCGTGCGGCGAAATCACCCTTTGTGATCCCGCCGCCACCGTGTGATGCTTGAAAATGCTCAACCGTGATCTGAAGTCGTGCGCCTTCCAGCGCAACCTTCCCTCTTTCGTCCTGCCTTTCGTGATCGACTGGGAAGGTTGGTGCGACGACGGAACTTCCCCCGCTGACTGTGGCGGGCACGCCAACGTCATTGATGAGGCGGACCGTGCTGTGATTGTCGATCCCCCAAAGTATAGAGGACATATATTGCGAGACACAGCGAGAATTCCAGAATGAACAAGACATAGTGCATTAGCTATTGTGAGCGGATATCGCAAGAAAGGGGATCACGGGGCTTCACATCACTACTGTCCTCGCCGGCAGGTGGATCACTGTGCCAGCGAAATACGCATAGGCATCGCTCCACCGAGGCTTTCCTTCCCCTTGACCATGGGGAACATAACGATTCCGGCAAGAGCGCGTTGTATTTCCACTTTCTCTGCAGGGAGGTCAAACTGGAAATTATCCAGTAGCTCGGCGAGGAAAGCTTGCATCTCGATGAGTCTGACGATGCCATGCCATGCCATGGTCAGTGAACGACCGTGGGTATCGTTTGAATACAAGCGACGTACGAGAACCGCCATCCGATGCACGCACGAACGCCAGCAGCTGTCAAATATCATAAGCGAGGCACCAAAGAACGGGACGGAGCCTTACAGAAAGCCATTCTGCAGGAAGAGACGTATCAACAATTGTCCCATGCCGATGCGTGCACAAGACTTACAGGTTTGCGAACACGCCGACATTGGTTTGCTTCCCCGTTTCGAGGCGGGAGAAGCGGTCGGGGTTCCATACGTTTGCATCATCGCCCCACACCTCCGGAAGCCTAGCCATGAAGCGACGTCAGACTGGATGAAGCTCCGAGGGGAGCAGACACACCGTTGGTATCCAGCATAGGAGAGGAAAACGACCTGACCGGCGCGGACAGGAATCTCGGAGAGGACCTCGCCAGTCGTAGACGTGACAGGGTATGCGAGGGGTATGGCATCGTCTTTCTCTGCCACATGGTGAAGGCCGACGACGATGGGGTGCATCCTAAGGGTTTCCTGATAAAGTGTATCGGCGTGAGCTTATTGTTTCCGAAAGGCTAAGGGGGGTCACGACGAGGTAGGGCTGACCTTGATGGCGTTCATTGTCAGTGTCAGCGAGTCCAGGTCTTCGATCGTGAACTGGTTCCCACCGCGAGCGGTGATTTGAGCGCGAACGCTGCGGATCTCCTGACGCATGCGATCCTGGTACTCCTGGTTCTTGGCAAGTTCATAGAGCAAGAACGTAAGAGTAGTCGAGGTAGTCTCATGGCCCGCGATCGTCAACGTGTACATCTCAGCGATGATTTCTTCGTCGTCCATGCGCATCTTCGGGTTCTCGGAAGAGTTCGCTTTGACTGGATATATGCGCATCAGAGGAAAGCGCAGCTCGGCTCGATCATCAATCGCTCACTCAAGATGCTCATGATGTCTTTGCTGGTTGCTTTCTTCTCGGCGTCAACAACAGGAGCCTGCTCGTGAAGAATCTGTCTCCCGTACTCCCTGTACAGGTTATTGAGGTCTCGGATGCGCGTCCACGGGTGCGCCGGAATGTATTTGATGACCTTCAATAAGGGAACAGGCAGATAATCCCACGATGCCCGGAAGAGGATAGACGGCTTGCCGAGCTGGTAGTCTACGTCCTTACTGTAGAAGGGATAAAGTTCAGTGTACGTACTTCTAGCGATTGGTACGGCTTACAAGATGTCTTTATAGCCTTTGGAAATCGCGCTGCGCTCTCCACCATCGAGGGCATTGTAATCAAAGTCGAACGCAGCTACAGACGTCTGTCAGACCGTGTTAGGCATCTGCGGTAACCAGGTCGACTCACCCTCCCCGATAACGTCAAGTGTGGCTCGAGAAAGCCATGTGTTCAGCATTGTGTTCAATTCACCCGTGGCCATCAAGTCAGCCTTCCATTTCTCAGACAGCTGTGGTATGGGATGAGAGTCAGGCGTTGCGACTGGAACACCGCTAACGGTCATACCTTGCCGGCTACCCGTTGAAAAAGCGGCAAGAACGTTCGCAAGTGAGCCGCACTGAACGCAGGGTTCATGATCTTCCGATGACGTTGATGATCTTTCCCTACAATTGGATGGAAGGTCAATGCAAACCCATATGGAAGCAATGATGTTCGACGCACCCAAAACGGAGACTATCCCGGGGCCGGACATAAGCCACGACATATGGAAGCTAGTCGTCTTCTTGGTATAATTATAGCCAGACTTCTGCATGATGTGCTGCATGGCCTGCGGGAAATTCGTTTCGTTGGGCGACGAGCTATACGCTTGAAGAAAATAACACAAGACATACCTTCGGGTCGACAGTCGTCAGGACATCCGTCTACACAGGGTGGTAAGAATGAGATACAGGCCATGAAAATACAATATGAACGCGTACTCCAAAGGCACCACCAGTGCGCCACGTGTAGCCATATTCGCGCATCCACTTGAACTCCAGGTCGCATGCCTCTTCTTGACGAACGTAAGCCTCTTCGTGCCCTGCAAAGATTTGCGGTCAGATCGAAGGAAACAGCGCTTCTTGAGCAAGATGCATACCGCATAAAAAGGATGGCGAGGGAGGTCCATGGACATGCTTTATGCCCTTACGGTCAACGACTCGGCGAACGACGGCTAGCAAAAGAGCTAAGGTCACGAAGACAAAAGACACAGCAAGTGCAGGCATGGTCGATAGCTAGAAGCCGAGGGTTTTGGTTGGAAAAAAGGGTTCTGGAGGGCAATGAGCCGTTGGACGAGCATCTCTTTATAAACAGTAGGTTCGGCGGTGCACCTCAAAGCCGAGTGTCAATGAAGTCAGCACAGAGTCCCGGCAATTGGCAACGCGTCAGCTTGCTTGCACCACCTGTGAATTTTACGGGATCCATTAGGCCGTGAACGTGAGGATGAGGGAAGGGCTCTAGCCCGTAAAATCATGTCCGTGACATAAACGCGACGCACCAATGCACTTCGGTAGAACTAGTCGTAAGGCCAGCTTATATTCAGACTCCCCGTGACGCAGCGGGTTCCTGGAAGGCCGACATCTTCTGTCGTCTTCTGTGCCCGCCTATCGAATGGTGAGCTGCCTCAGCCCTGTCACTGGTGTGTCAGCGGTCCTGCCGGTCAGGCGGGGCACATTACTGCGACTTGTTCTCACTGTCGTCGACTCGTATGTGAAGGCATGTCATAAGCATTTGAGAGACACGCAGCCAAGTTGCAGACCCTGGCTATCACGTAAGTTGCAAAGGGGCGAGTACGTACCCAGTGCTGGCATCCCGTTAGCATGCCATGATGAACTATAACGACTATAACTTCCCGGCGGGAATCGCCACCGGCGCTGAATGTCGTTAGCCGAACCTGGCAGTCTTTTGCCATCCTCAAAATTCTGAGTAGGAGGTCCGCAATTCAGGACTCGGTAGAACCAAGCAATGGCCTTATCTAGGATCGAAATCAAAACTTGAGACTCCCGGGCGCCACGTAGACTTCGATCGGCGACCAGAAAGTCTGCGTACCCGAAGTTCTCCCCCAATCGCGTCCAGCCTCCTTCGCGTGCTCTCTCTCCTCTCCTCCGGGGGAGAGGGGAGTTTTGGAGACGTTCTCGCGTAGGGCTTTGCACCGACCATCAGAAGGGACACCCCGTCCCAACCGCCCCTAGAAACGCTAACCCCCGTCTGAGCAGCCCCCCGTCTGTCCGAGTTCAGAAGACGCGACGCGCAGTCCCTGTCAACGCCCGCGAAACGGGGGGCCTAGACGCGTTTTCTCATCCGCTTTCAGACTACGAGCGCAATGTCTTCGGATTGCCTTGGTGTTGACCGGCAACAACATCGCCGGGATATGTCACTGGTGCGATGTATAGCACAACTGGTAGCTATAAGGACCTTGTGCAGACGACGAAAAATGAGCAGTGCCCAGGTTTGTGAATTGTGCGTCAAAACGCTCATCCAATGACTCGACTGGCCTTCGGTAGGTAGAGTGAAGGTGAGCAGTTCCGACGGTCAAGAAAGCCTGCTCTGGAGCGGTGTACTGGTGATGATGAGGCGGTAGCGTGAGTGGTAGTACTGGGAGCGTCTGCGTCATCCAACTCTGCGTGTTCTTCGTGCGGTTGCCCTTGAGTAAGGAGGGCTAATATAGAGACATCGGAAGCACTTACCTATGAGCTTAGAGCTTCGAGTCTCGCGTGGAGTTCTCGCTGTACGACTAGACACTGGCGCGGGTTGATGTGCATGGAGACCCCGTTGAGAATACATGATAGAGGCAAGAGGAGTGAGGGCGACAGGGACTTGCCTCAACATGACCATGTTGAATACAGGAAGAGCCGCTCACAGTTGTTGCAAACTTGTTGAAGCATTGAGGTGCATTTGCAAGCGAACATCACTACGCTCCATCACATTTTCAATAGGTGCACATACCTTGAGACTCGCGACCATCCGTCTCTAAACCAGTCCAACCAGATACACTCTCGTCTACAGCACCTGCCAACCAGTGTCCTCAATTAACCATCCAGATCCGCTTGTGGAGGGGTCTCGTCTTTTGCGCACTATCCGCGATGGACCTCAGTCCGTACGCGATATTCCGCAGCAGCCTCTTGCCATTGTGGAAGCGAATCAATATATTCATTATCCAATCAACTCTTGAAATGTGAGCCTCGAGTGAGAGCAGCATGGATTGAGGTTTCATGACGATAACCACGACAGCGATATTTGTACAGAGAACGGGCGTCGAGAACGGTAGACGGGCGGTCGGTGGACGCAAACGGGGGCGTTAGAAGCGCCTGCCTGATTCGACGCCAGAACGCCACGTTTTCGACGGAACGATGCAGATTGCAAAGGGACGGCATCTGCCGGGCAGCAATATCGGTTATGGCAGGTGGTCGTTACCCAACGCGGGCGCCCAGCAGGCCGCATCGCTCAGCTCTGCTCGGCGTTGACGACCATTTGCAATGATTCCCAAGCTCGTCCCTCTCGGTCGTCAACACAGGCTACGGCGCTTCGTGAATACAAGGTTTCGAGGTAGAAACCCTCGGCGTACTCGTAGCCGTCATGGTCAGCAGTCTCCACCTCGAACTTCGCCTCCATAAGGCTCGTCGGTGTCTTCTCGTCGTAATGTTTATCCGACCGTGTATCCAGCCACGTGGGACGAAGGAAGCCTCGGTACCGGAGCCATGGGCGTAACAATCTCGCTGCATCCAGGTCCAGGTGATGATGAGATGTCGGTTCCCGGCTATGCCTTCGGAACCACTCCCTGGTCTGATGTCTCTACCACAGGCTTGAATGCTTTGAGTCTTTGAGGACTCTGAGCTGGTATAAAATGAACCGACCAACTCTGCTTGACTTCACTTCCCCCCCCTCTTCCTACCAGTTTCGTTCTTTCCGTTCATCTCGTTTTCGCATTGCCAAGGCAGCTGTGCTCGCCCATACAATCTTTCCATCCAACTACCTATACGACTTAGCTCTATACTCTACAACCCGTCTCTGATCGTTCAAGATGCGCTTTTCATCGGCCATCCTCACCTCAGTTCTCGCGGTTTCGTCGCTTGTGTCCGCTGTGCCCACGCAACGTAGGCCATCGAACACGAAGATGTTGACCCCCAGGCCGAAGACCAACGCTGCTGGTGCGGCCTACTGTAAGAAGCTGCCTTCTTGGTTCCCTTTGTACCATCTGACTTTCTTGCAGTCATCACGAACGAGGGAAAGGGAAACATGATCATTGCCGCAAGTATCAGCGCGGACGGTACCTTGGTGCATAGGTTTCGTTGAGACATTAATCTTTGTGGCTAACATTGCCCTTGCAGAGCCTCGACAGGGCCGTTTCCACCGGTGGAAGCGGGGCGCACGGTCAGACCGACCCCATCGGCCCCGACGCTCTCTTCGCCCAGGGTTCTATCAAAGCTTCTGCGAAAGGCCAGGTCCTCGCTGCGGTGAATGTATGCTAGCTGGTTCTCCTCCGGTGCGTGCTGGGTGCTGACATTGTTCCCCAGGCCGGGTCGAACACCATCTCCCTGTTCTCGATCAACCCCAAGTCACCCGCGGCTATCAGCCAGATCGGCGCTCCCGCCCCGTCTCAGGGCGAGTTCCCGATCTCAGTCGCGTTCAACGCAGACGGCACCCGCCTCTGCGCGCTCAACGGCGGCAAAGTCAACGGCGTCGCCTGCTACAACGTCGACAAGCAGGCCGGCCTCAAGCCGATCGCGAACTCGCAGCGCTCGCTCAACCTCAACCAGACCACGCCCGCGACGGGCCCCGCCGGCTCGGCCTCGCACGTCATCTTCAGCGAGGACGGCTCGCAGCTCCTCGCGTCCGTCAAGGGCGTGCCACCCACGCCCGGCTTCATCGCCGTGTGGGACGTCCAGGCCGACGGCTCGCTCTCGGCGGACTTCAAGAGCGTCGCGCCGCCGTCCGGCGGCGCCCTGCCGTTCTCGATGACCCTCATCCCCGGGAAGAACGCGTTGCTCTCGACCGACCCGGCCCTTGGCTTCGACGTGTTCGACTTGGGCAGCGGGAACGCATCGTCGGCGGTCCCGATCACCGGCCAGAGCGCGACGTGCTGGTCAAGTTTCAGCAAAAAGACGGGCAACTTCTACCTCACCGACATCGGCACCTCAACCGTCACTGAGGTCAACGTCGACGCCAACCTCAAGGCCTCCATCGTCGCGGTATGTGCCTCTTCGGTATCTCCTACTATGCGTGAGCGTGTCCTGACCATCTCCTGCAGCAATACAGCCAGACCGCGGGCTCTGCGACGATTGACAATGACATCGCTACGATCAAGGGAAACGAGTGAGTACACGGACGCGGAAACGCATGCGACGCTCTCGCTTACAAGCCAACGTATAGCTTCCTCTACGTGCTTGCGCCCAACGCCACGCAGGTCGACGTCCTTTCCCTTCAGTCTGCTGGTAACGCCAAGCACATCAGCACCCTGGACATCTCCGGCCCCACCAAGGCCGCTGGTGTGACCATCAGTACGTCCCCCCTTCCCTTGCCTCGTCGCCGACTAAACTGATTTCACACCCTGTTAGACCCGGCCAACCTCCAGGGCTTCACCACCTTCATCAAGCAGTGAAGGGCTGATCGTTCCCTTATCCATTGTTCATCGTCCGTTCCTCAATGCTCGCCCAGCTTATGGTCCCGGTTGTTTCTTCCTGTCTGTTCTCGGTCCTGGTTCTTGATGATCCACTGCACCTGTAGTCATTAGAGTTTCACTCTCGTTGGTTTTTCGGATGTATCCCTAGTCACATTCATACATATACAAGTGGGGAAGTCACTTGAATCGCTGTCTGTGTGCTGGGCCTCGCGAACTGGCAGAGCAACATTCACGATCGTGGAGTCGTCAATCAGTATACGAGTCGCGCCCGGCCTGAAGCTCAACGCGCAGTAAGTCTGGCGCGTCCAGAGTCGGGAGCAAACAATAGAATGGATCGTGCCGCGAACGTTACGTCGATCGGCAGCCCCGGTTGGCTGTCGAACTCTATCCCTGTCAGGAAGTCGCAGTAACTGTATTGACGTATAAGTTATGACAGAAGCCTTAGGCCCCGTTCGGTACGTCGGGTAGGATTAGGATAGGGTCGGTCTACTAGCGAAAATCGCCGTAGCCGCTGGGTGTTGCGAGCCTGGGTGGGGCTTCGAGCGGTTACGGCGATCGGGCAGTGAAAACTAAACCTGTCCTACTCTAACCCGGCGTACCAAACGGAGTCTACAGGGATTTTCAGGCTTCGGCGCTTCAGCGATGGTGTCTATCCGTACCATCCTCCCACAACACACTCAATATGGAGTCCTCCCCTTTCCCGTTGCATAAAATGTTTTTGACTCATCATCACGGTAAGGTCGGTGTCCAGGATAGGTGTGTGATACAACCGCGTAGTGACTAGACACAGGGCCCTGTGTGACTGCATAGACTTCTCACCAGGCACGGTCCATTCCTGTGCGAATACAGCATCGGAGCACGCTTCATGCGTAGATACTTTCCAGTAGCGCCACCGTTCTCGGAACTAATGGATCCTCATCATTGCCCACTGCCAACGCCGCAATCTTGGGCAGATCGGCCTTCGGTACGTTATACTGCGAGAGGGTAGACTTGAGTCCAAGATCGTCGACCAACCTATGCAAGCAGGTCAATACTAAGGATCAGAGGGGTGGTAACTCATAGGACGTACTGCCGGATGAGTGTGGACAGCTTGCGGACGTCACCATCGAGGGAGCCCGTAGACTCTTGACGGAGGTAGAATAACGAAGCAGCTAGCGCTTTCTTGTCCTCTTGCGAAGCAACCTCTGCCTTCAGTCCGACAACGGGTGCAAGGGTAAGGCACTGGTAGCTCAGTAAGCACCATTAGACTGGAACGGCATGGACATAATTGCTCACAGACGTGATCCCGTGGGGAATGCCGTACTTAGCGCCTAGCTTGTGACCCAAGGAGTGCGATAATCCAAGAGGCCTGCACGACGGTCAGCACTTTCGACAACGAGGTAAACATGGCATCAAACGCACCCGTGATTCTCGGACTTCATCGGCCAGATAGACATCCAGGATGCGATTTGCAGCCTTTGCCGGGCCTCCAGGTCTTGAGGGTTTGCTTTTGACTTTGGCAGGTACGTGAAGAGATCCGCGATAGCAGCATAACAGAGGTACGTGAGGGGGATCGGAACAAAGGGCCTGTAGAGATTCTCTGTAGCTGAATATCAGCCAATGCGCATAGTCCATAGCATTTGGGTACTCACCAACTGCGTGGTCCAAAGCACGCAGAGCCGTAGAGAGCCATAACCGCTCGGGAGTTGCAAGGGTCAATTCGGCGTCGAGAATTATACCCGCTGGTGCGAGCTCTTCCGAGATCAGCCTGATCTTGTTGCCCTGTTCGTCCTTGAGTCCCGCGCTGATCTGCGGATCATTGCGAGACTTCAGTTACTTAACGATGGCCATGGTCAGCAAGTGTGCGAACCGTATACTCTGCGGCGCTGAGAGTGGTGGGAATGGCAATCTGCCGGAGGAACGGCCCACCCGTTTCCTGTTGGAAGAAGTACAGGATGGCCTTCGCAGCGTCAACAGGGGAGCCGCCTCCGACGCTAATAATAATGTCAGCGCCAGCGTCCTTGAACGCTTTCACGCCATTCTTGACCCCAGCTATGGGGGAGTGCTCGCCAATCTCGTAGAAGGTCGCCCCATATGCGTTGTGCTCCTTGAGAATGTCCTCGACAGTCTTTACGACGTCAGTCTGCGGCGAATCTATCAGAACTGAACCCAATTCAGCAGGAAGTTGTGTCATAACCCGACCTTGGTGTAGAGGCTTCGGCCAGTGACGATGAGGGCCTTCTTGCCTCCTATGATGTCAAGGAGCTTAGGGAGAGCTGTCTTGACTGATCCGGGGCCGTAGAAAACACCCTTGAGGGTGTCGGTGCAGGCATAGGAACCTGACAGACTAGAAGACGGCGTAGCCATGACGAGTACGAAGGCGGGAGACTGGATGTACCCAAGTACAGCTACGTTTGTATGCGTGCACTTTATATGCGTGCACTCAGTCAGTACAGTCAGCCGAGTCCGCCGTAACTCAAGTATGCCGCGAATAGCATTTATCGTTATGTCATCGCTTTGTCAGGCGATCAGCAGGTGCATACTATTCGGAGATCTCGCGATGCAACGCTGTGTGTTATGGTTTCCCCATATCGTATATGTAGTAGCAGTTGTCTGGACTCAACATTCACACACCTCAGGTCTAAAACTCGCGCACGCACCTCCGTCAGTGCATGCCTATGAAAGGGCTTCTAGGCGTGCGTACTGTTGGTCTATTTTGAGGATCCCTGTGTTGATACCAAAAGCGCAACGGCGTGATTGGATCGATGTCGCAATCTGGGTCGGATAGACGCCTATTCCCGTTGCGTCGTGTTTGCTTTCCCACACATTTTGTACATGACTGGGAACATCCAGTAGCACCGCCATGGGTTAGAAGTGCTCTAGCAGTATCAAGTGTAAGTCCGCGTTAGCATCTGAGGGTCTGAGCGACATCAATCAACGCTTGTCATCGTACCTCCGTGCGATCGCCTTATTATACAACTTATACCTGCAGATCGGCATATGACCAATGCATTCCTGTGGGAAATCCCAGCCACTTGAGCCTTAAAAGCTGTCATGAAGACTCTAAACTTATGCCCTGACATCCTTCTTGCTCTGAGGTCGTCTTACGGTGGGTGGAGACTTGACGGCGTCTGGTGACGCCGCCATTGACACGTCAAACATTGCAGGCACACTCTCATCATGAGTCTTCCGCCTCCTGGCATCAACCAAGCATTCTGCGACGTATCCGCGCTTGAAGCTGGCTATGTCACGGCACCTCTCGCATGCTTCCTGACCGATGTGGGCGACGACGAGTTCTTCACCGTACCCACCCTCTCCTTCCTCGTCCGTCATCACGCCAACGACGACACCGTCATATTTGACCTAGGCCTCCGCAAAGAGTGGAAGAAATTGCCGCCTGGACTCGTGAGCTACTTCACTGAACAGCTCCACTTCCAGCTCAATATCAAGCAAGATGTCGTCGACTCGCTCGCCCAAGGCGGCACGAAGCCCTCCGACATCAAGCGCGTCTTCATCTCTCACCTACACTTCGATCACTTCGGTGATGCCGCACTCTTCCCGACTTCGCAATTTTTTGTGGGCGAGGGCGGACGTGCTCTGGTCGCCGATGGGTATCCCAAGAACCCTAGCTCATTCCTCCCTATAGACGTCATCTCGGAGGACCACACGACATATCTCAACCCCGAGGAGTGGCCGCCCATTGGACCCTTCCCACATGCCCTCGACTTCTATGGCGACGGGAGCCTCTACGTCGTTGACGCAGGCACCGGTCACATCCAAGGACATCTCAACTTCCTCGTCCGCACTTCCACAGACGGAGGCTGGATCTACCTTGCTGGCGACAGCGCCCACCATTGGAACCTCCTAACGGGCAAGAGCAAGATCGGGCGTCATGCCCACTTCGGTTGCGCTCATGTGAACGCTGAGGAGGCAGAGAAGCATATTGAACGAATCAAGAGATTGATCAAGGAAAACCCTAGAGTGCGGGTGCTCCTGGCGCACGATGAGCCTTGGTTCGACGCGAACAAGGGCGGACCTGCGTTCTGGCCCGGAAAGATCGAGTCGTTGTGATGCACTCTCGGGAGGTACGCCATTCACTTCCCAGTGTATCTCAGAAGCTGAAGGTGTACTGATGCGCTGCTTCCATGAAGCAGTCGGTGGTGGAGGCGAGAAGAGCATGGCGAACAAGCAGCCCGCGCGTAGCTCGGTGATACATATTGTTGCACGCCATTCGGTGTCATGCATCTGAGAATGACGAATACCCAATGGTTGTCTACATGTTCAGGGTTTCCTGAGAGTTCCGACAAGGGTCATCAAGCCCAACGATGGTCCCACTCGACAAAATCTCGGTGACTTGACGCATCATGAGCAACCTACCGAGCAGCTTACCCACGCCCTTCGTACCCTGTATAAATAAGAGATCGGTCCATCAACCATCACAAACTTGAGGTCCCGACGCGCAGTAGCTGCCCACTTGTACGTACGTTCTCGTTCAGATTGACCTCACATTGATGAGTTGCTCAGTGTTCCACCTACTACCTCACTCATGAGCCTCCCACCTCCCGCTGTAGACCAACAATTTTGTGAGATCTCCGCCATCGATTCGGGCAGCATCCACAGGGCACCGCTCGGGCAGTTCATTGACGTAGCCAAAGTTGATGAGACGGCCGATCTCCCTTGCCTTGCCTTCGTACTCCGCCATTGCCGCACTCGCGATCCGTTCGTCTTTGACCTCGGAATCCGGCCCGATCCCGAGAACCTTGCAGGCGCGATCGCGGTGATCACCAAGATGGGTATCATGGTGGAGGGCAGAGACATCCCCGCTGTGCTAGAGCAAGGTGGTCTTTCGCGCACCGATGTCAAACACGTCGCGATCTCGCACATACACTTCGACCATACCGGTGTCCCCAAGGCTTTCCCGAACGCGACGTTCCTTCTCGGGGCAGGGGCGAAGTCCGTCATCGAAACACAGGGCCCTGACTTCGAAGGGACTATCTACGCTGTCGACGTTCCCTTCGAACGCACAAATTTCCTTGATCCATCCACGGAGGAGTGGGTCCCGATCGGCCCCTTCCCGCGTGCTCTCGACTTCTACGGTGATGGCAGCCTCTACATCGTCGACGCACCCGGACACGTTCCGGGGCACATCAACGTGCTTGCGCGCACGTCTGCGAACGGCGGCTGGGTATTCCTTGCGGGGGATAGCGCGCACGACTGGCGCCTTCTTACGGGCGAGGCGAAGGTTGGCCACCACGTTCGTTACGGTTGCATTCACGAAGACCCGGGAAATGCGCAAGAGACTATCGAGAGGATTAAGGTGTTGGCGGGATGTCCGAGAGTCAGGGTCTTGTTGGCGCATGACGTGCCGTTCGCGAAGCAGAATGCGAAGGAAGGGAGTGGCTATTGGCCCGACAAGATCGTGTCGTTGTGAGAGCATCGAGCTACGCCTTGCGGACTAATGAAAACTGCAGGTGTGTTCTTGGTCGCATCATTGTCAAATTCGTTTGGAATCCTGTGACGAGTCATATGCGCCTTTCAGTGAACGCAGGGTCACACAGACAGATGGTGTAATGCAGGGACACTTGAACGGGACATTCACCTGCATGCGCTAGAAGTGTGCCGGCGCGGCCTTCCGCGAGGACAGGTGAGCATGTGAAGGTAAGCCTGAATGGAGGGTAGAACCCACGCGAAGATCCAATGAGAGTTGGACCTGAGCGTAATTTCGCGGCCCACTCTATTTTGCACCGCTACGAGGGGTTCGCGTTATCGTGTGACCACCGAAAGTCCTATGACGCATGCTGCATGACGAGCCAATGTCGACCAGCTTCCCCACGCCCTTGGGACAATATATAAGGAAGTGAGTGAGTTCATTGTTTGCACAGCTCTAGGATTCCAAAGTGCATTCGCGTGCTAGGTACGCTCACTACACTCGTCCCAGGTATACACTAACAGCTCGCTCAGTGCTCCACCCTCACCATGAGCGCGAGTCTCCCACCGCCGGCTGCGCAGCAAGCGTTCTGCGAGGTGTCCGCTATAGATTCGGGTACCATTCATATGCTGCTGGGGCAGCTCGTCGATACCGCCGCACCCGATGAGATGACGAACCTCCCTTGCCTTGCCTTCGTGCTCCGTCATTCCCGCACCCGCGAAACGTCCCTCTTTGACCTGGGCATCCGGCCCGATCCCGAAAACCTTAGGGGCGCAGGCGCGACTACGGCCAAAATGCGCATGGTGCTCACAGGGCGGGATATCCCCGCTGCCCTAGAACGAGGCGGCCTGTCACGCACGGAGGTCAAACACATCGCGATCTCGCACATCCACTTCGACCACACCGGGGTCCCGACGGCCTTTCCTAACGCAACCTTCCTTTTGGGGGCGGGGTCGAAGCCTGTCATCGAGGCCAAAGGCCCGGATTTCGAGGGCACGATCTACGCCATCGACGTTCCCTTGGAGCGCACCAAGTTCCTCGACTCCTCTACCCCAGATTGGTCCCCCATTGGTCCTTTCCCTCGTGCGCTCGACTTCTACGGGGATGGCAGCCTGTATATCGTCGATGCACCGGGACACGTCCCGGGCCACATCAATATACTCGCACGCACCTCCACAGACGGTGGCTGGGTATACCTTGCAGCGGACAGCGCTCACGATTGGCGCTTACTCACCGGTGAAGCGGGCATCGGCCACCACCCCGAGTGGGGATGTATCCACGAGGACCCGGGGAAGGCGCAGCAGAATATCGAGAGGCTGAAAGCGTTGGCGGAATACCCGAGGGTTCGGGTCTTGCTGGCCCATGACAAGCCGTTCGTGAATGCGAATGCGAAAGACGGGAGGGGTTACTGGCCGGACAAGATCGAATCGCTGTAGGTCAGATGTAGTGCAATTCATGTGGTCCTGGAAAACCGCAGATACCCGCGGGTGTACGATAGCTCATACGTCGCGTTTGTGTAGATACTACTTGCAAACGTTACCTTCTTTCCCATAATTCGAGTTGCGTAGATGGCTGTGCTTGCGATGCTTGTCTTGGAGTCCGACTCGCTGTGCGTTATAGTATGGACTCCCGATATTTCGAGAACATCCACAGTGTTGTTGTCATTGCGCGAAAATTCGAGACTAGTACGCGTGAATTCATTGGGCTCTGCAGCTTGGGCATGTTGGCGCCCCGACCATACGTCAGAGCGACTGATCATTGCCTGCACCTTTTCATGCTCACCTAGCCTTTGGTGTATGCTTCCCTCGATGCAAACCGATAGGAAATGCCGATTACGACTCCCGTTGTCGGAATTTACGTCCTCAAATACCAGCGCCTGTCCCTATTGTGCGCTTACTCATCGCGATCCACCGCAAAACCGGAGCCCGAGCTTAGATTCATAAAGAAGCTCGCCAATCGCTTGATGAGACCTCTACCAGCATATATAACCCGCGACAACGTGTCAGAACGGCAGATTGTGCCATCAACATAGCGCAACCAACTCGACCCAGCCACAGCCATCGAGGTGGGCAACGTGAGCGTAGGCTATGTTGACAGCAACCTCATTGACATCGCACGCACCGTTAGATGAGCCTTCCGCCCCCGGCCGCCAATCAAGCATACATCAAGGTCTCCGCGTTGGAGGGCGGCTTCGTCAAAGCGCCGCTTTCCATCTTCCTCGAAAAAGTGCCCCCGAGCGAATTCGTCGTCGTCCCTTCGATTTCCTTCCTGCTGCGCCACACGAGCCGCCCCGAGACGTTCGTCTTCGACCTCGGCATCCACAAGCACTGGGCCACGCTTGACCCTGCTCTGCGCGCCGAGTACGACGCGCTCGGCGCGGACATGACGGTCCCCGAGGACGTCGCGGACGCGCTCCGCAAGGGGAACCTCGACCCCGCAGACGTCACCTACGCCAGCATCTCCCACGCGCACGCCGACCACATCGGCGACCCGACCGTCTTCCCGAACGCGACGTACCTCCTCGGGAGCGAGGCGCAGACGCTGCTCGACCCGGAGACGAAGGACCTCGGGATCAAGCTGCTCAACGCGCTCCCGAAGGAGCGCACGAGGTTCCTGGACGTCGCGAGCGCGCCTGCGCTCGGGCCGTTCCCGCACGCCCTCGACTTCTACGGAGACGGCAGCCTGTACATCGTCGACGCGCCGGGGCACCTCCCGGGCCACATCAACGTGCTGGCGCGTACGTCCGCGGACGGGGGGTGGATCTACCTCGCTGCGGACAGCGTGCACGACTGGCGGATCATGACCGGGGAGGGGAAGATTTCGACGGAGCCGTTCTGCATCCACGCCAATAAGGCGCAGGCGGAGGTGACCATAGAGCGGATCAGGGAGGTGAACAAGATCCCGAGAGTGAGGGTGTTGTTAGCGCACGATCGGCCGTGGTATGATCTGAACAAGGGCGGGGATGCTTACTGGCCTGGAGAGATCAAGTCGCTGTAGCTGGCTGGAGTGTTGGACTTTCTCGAAGGCCGCGCATATGTAGCCTATAGCAGAGTTTTGGATAGCCAACTTGACTGGAATGGATGGTGTAGCACCCGAATTCGGGACACGCGTCATGGGAGGTCTGCCGCCACAAGCAGGGACGGAAATCGCTGCTAAGGATGACGCAAGGGCTTCGAAAGAGAGAACTTGTCAGGAGAGATAGCCCATCTAGACAAAGAGTAGTATCAAACAAACATCTCGTCTCGCTGTCGCATGCTTCGGGCTACTTTCTATATTGAATGCTAACACGATACCACTCGTTCCCGCTAATCTGGCGGCGACAGAGGAAGGGTCCGCTCCCACTGTCGCCGCGCGGACCGCGGTAGAAGCTGGGAATATTGGAAGCTCGGTGCTTGAACAAGGATGCACAATGCAGGACAATACCTGACAGATGTCAGGAGAGACGCGACTAGCCATTCATCCCGTCGCCTCACAACAGACCAGCGCTGGCCTGCTGCATAGACCGTTTATGACGACCAGCTTGATGCAGCATCAAGCGTTCCTCGCAAACGTCGATGGCCTAGAATGAATGCCAAAGCTCTCGCTGGACATTGACATGAGCTAGTTTCTGACATCCGGGCAGAGATTCGGCATTCTCGGTCCTAGGCACGATCGGGACAGGATGTGGTCGACTTGGACTCACCGGCGGCTGGAGTATGACAGGTGCAGTGCACAGAGGTTACACGCGCGCCCATCTAGGAAGACACGTATTAATATTCTCATCGTGGTTCTCGAGTTCGACTGTTGCCGCTCGGCGGCGAGTGCGGCGATACCGAAGGGGATTGACAAGCCGTTGATGCTCCGCACGCCCGACGAGCCCAACGCTCCGAAGGATCCGAACTCAGACAGGAATATACCTTTCGTCGAGCTCGAGTGGGAAAGCAGCTGAGATGGAACCGCAATACTTGCCAATACTGGCCGCGGGCGAACAAGCCAACCGTATTGTGGGAGGAGCGATGAACCGAGAAGGTTGATACAGCAGCGGGGCGAGCAGGCGCATTCAATCTATGCTGAGTGTGAAACGGGGAGGCGAAGATGCACAAGGTCGCCGGCCGCCGAAGCGTACAAGAGCTCGGAAGTTCTGTAATAGAGTCGGGTGAATATCTTCCTGACAAGAGTGACTCGCCTGGCCGCAGCGATGATCGCGGCAGCTCTACGTGCGCAACGTCAACGAGCGGGCTGTAAGAGCAGGCCGGGCAATCAAGGGGAGCCGATTGATATGCTCGTGGATGAGGTAAGAAGGGTGTATGTACGGTATGTATAAGTAGCTACTTACTTACAAGACCAAGAAGGAGATTACTTAGATTCAAGTGCTCGGCGAGATGGGATCGGCTACAGGGAGATCAAAGGCGGGCCATCACCCGGAGTTCGGCCGCGGAAGTGTTCGCAACGATGGACGGCTCGCTCGACTGATCCTCTCACATCTTGCCCTTTGCTCTCTTGTCCTTCATTCCTTCCTTCTTCCATCTCCGCTCCTTCCCCCCACCACCTCCACGGTCTCCAACCCCGGCCCCGTCGTGCTCGATGCCCGCGAGGACAGTTCCCTCCTCCCCCGACCTCGCCCTCTCTCCTCCCCGCTTCCACCCCAGGCCAACCCTTCAGCCACTCTCGTCGTCTCATCTGCATCGGGACGCACTCGACGAGAGGTCGCCGGAGTACAACACCTACGCCGTTCGGATGCCTCCCCAGAACGCCCACCCTGACGCAGACTACGGCTCGCATCCAGGATGGCCACCGCCTGGTCCGCGTGTATACCCCGACCCTTCCTCTATACCCCCACATTGGCATGTTCACCCGTCCGCCCTCACCCAATATCGCGATGCTCGCACGCCCGCCCCGCCCGCCCCAGCCACTCAATCAAACGCCCGCGCACCTTGGCAGAACCCGTACACTCGCGTTCTACAGGTTCAACCCTTCGTTGCGCCGCCGCCGCCTCCCATTCCGCACAAGGTCTGGATCTTGGACTGCAAAGCATGCGGTATGTTTTTGACCAACCGAGGCATGAAGGTGAGCGGACTTTCACATCCAACTCATGGTTCCGCATGGTTCGCACCCCTTGTCTCCTCACGTTGCTATGGCGCGTGCACGTACAATCGGAACCGCCATCTGCAGGCTGCTTCGCGTGCCGTTCGATTGTTCGTCCCCGATGAGATCACGAACGATAGAGATGCGCGAACGTATATGATTATAGGATCTCCTACTACCTCTAACGCCCGTGGCATCGACGTACGGACCACAATCGCAATACCGTCTGCCGGTGGGCCTATGGCTAGATCCTCATAATTTGATGGTCATCGCGGGCGAAGCAATGATACCTTGACAGATATTCCACCGCTACCTTCCGCTACTTGCGAGGCTGACCCGTGTTAATCCCAGGCTGTCCTTCTATTACGTCCTAACGTTCCGCTGTACTCCACGGACGCCCTTCCTATCAACTGCTCGGCATTCTCGCCCGAGTCCGAGGGTACGATACGCATGCACTCAACCTCTGTGTCGTCAACCTCGTCCGGAAGTGGCTCTCGGTCTGCGCGGTCCTCTATTTCCGGCCCGTCAGGTGATCCCGCACAACCTAACGCTTCTGCAGAACGTTCGCCGACGCGCACATGTGAATGCCTGACACAGACCCTATGCTGCCACGGGTGTGGAAACGCTGTTGGCTACATGATCGTCTCACCTTGCCAGCGATGTACGTCCTCGATTACGGTGAACAATCGCGCGACGAATGGACACCGATTTGTGTTCTACTCGAGCGAGATCACTGCGTGCGAGCGACACTACATCTCTGGCGAGCGCGGAGTCAGTCCCTTCCATCCACTAACATCGCCCAATCCGCAGACGTTACAGAGCGGTATGGCCGGTCTCACTATTGGTAACAGTTCGCCACGTCAGTCTGTGGCACAGCAGCCGACGCCCGCTTCGTCCACCCCGAGCACGCCGCATTCCATGCCTCCGCTCTCACCTGGACTCACGATATCCCCTGGCTCTACTATTGCCGCTCGGAGAACGTCCGTGGATTACCTCCCTACTCCTCCACCGGATGCCGAGAGCGCTTTCGCACCCAATGCGAGAGTCGGACCTACGCCCGCGACCGCAGCGTCGATCAACACACGTCCCAGCGCAATCAGTAGCGCCAGCCGGTCTCCTACCTCCAGTCAGAGCCGATCGAGAGCCAATGACGATGCAGGACCGGTCACGCCGCCCGCGCCTCCGAACTCGCACTCCACGTCGCCGCACACCGGGAACACGCCACCTGCCACCGGGGCATCGTCTCCTACCCTGCCGCCCTCTGCACGCGCCCGCGCCGCTTCGACGTCCGCCGCGGCGCCCTCCCCAGCGTCTGCGTATCCGCCGCCTCTCAACGTGTACAACATCGTCCCGGCGTACCTGTCCCGGCCGTTACACCCGCCCGCTCCCCCTCCTGCGCCACCTCCGGAGCCGCTGAAGGCGGGAGAGGTGCTCTACTGGCACCATCTGTTGCGGAGCGGGGAGATCCCTGCTGTCTCGGAGGACCCGCGCGCGCGTCTGGACGAGGGGGACGCCGACGTGAAGAATGAGGCTGCGATGCGGAACGCGCTCCCGAGCGGGATCGTTGCCGGACGTTGAGCTCGTTCGGTTGCGGCTCCCTTTCGAGAGCGGCTGAGCGCGTCTTGCCTTTCCCTCTTCCAATCCGTTCGTCTCGCAATATCATGTTCCGCAGCGCGACTCTGTCTAGCGCCCGGGTCGATGTTGGCATCCTGGAGTTTTACCGCGCGCCTGACTGTCGACCTCGCACACGGAAAGCACGGGTTATCTATTCCTGTTTATTATTCATTAACACTGTATATTTTTACATGTCTCGAAACGCTCCGGAAATATGTCCTCTACGGTCGCCGGGGAAAAATCGTGTCCCCGGCCGAATGCCGCGCCATCTCTCGTACAGCGTTCGTTCGTACTCGCATACGTCACGACCCTCGTTTACGAATCGAGACGTCTACCATTCATGATTCTTGCTACGCTCGCACAAACACTTCCAGACTTGTCGATACCCCTCCCCCTCCTCCCTCTGTCCCCACTCCCTGATTTGATCCCTGCCACGCTACCGCCGTCGTACCTCGTTGTATCAATCACCACGCAGTCGTCTCACTTGACCCTCCATCAGCATCTTGGATATATATTCAACCCGCCTCCCGCCTCATTGGGTCCATGTCACATCACCGCGGCCTCGTCTCCCTCCCACCCTTCCTCCTCCTGGTCATATGGATGTTCTTGTAACATTGATCCTTATATGTTATGGTTCTCGGTCCTCCGCGTTGCCTCGTCGTCGATCGCTCTGTCGTGTTGCATCTTTACTTGCCTGTTACTTTGCGGTTGACTGCATCTGCATAGTGACGTTGTGCATTCCTCCCGCGCATTTCCACAATCCGTATACTAGCGTATGTCACGACCGATCGTGTTCTGCTGTGTCACGTTTGCACACCGGCCATCTGACGCGGCGATGCCGCAATTCGCTGGCCGGCTGTTGCGGCCAATGCGGCGCGAGCGAACTCTTATATCCAATGTAAACAGCATGCTGTCCATGCACGTCATTTCTGCACACCACATATTCTACGCGCATCCCAGTGGATGCCCGGTTTTCTTCGAGAGTGAGTCGTTTCGTGACCGGATGCATGACAGAGAGCGACTTTATTCGTACAACGCGTGATACAAGGGGCACGTACAGCGGGCGATGACAGAGATCGAGAAATCGTGAAACAACAGGCTCCAGGTAGGAATACAAAGTTAAGGCCGGTGCCTCGCGGCTACTTGGAAGTGGACATGGGCATGAGGACGCTGCTACCCGTCTGCGTAGCCTCGCTGGACGGCACAGGAACGAGCTCGAACTGGATTCCTGAGTATATGACGAGGGTCAGCCATCTCGTCACGCATCGACAACGTGGGGGCAGTACCTATATGCGCCATGAACCCGTTGAGGTTCTTCTCCAGGACTCCATGCTCGTGCAAACCAAAGTCCTTCACGAGCGCCTTCGACTTGTTGTCTGCACCATAGTCTGGTCAGGATGAGGCATCTTTGTGCTGATGGAGATGGGTACATACAGTCGTATGCGAACAGCGAATGGAGGTTGGCCGGGTACAGCTTGCTCTTCTGACCGTCTGGCCGCAAGACGAGGGCGAGGTCGTCGGTGAGGTTGCTAGGACTCGGCCTCAAGACCGAGTTCTTGCGCCTCGCCTCCCTGGGGGAGTACTCTGTCATGTCTTGCGCTGATATTACGAGCAGTGCACATACGAGTTCGCCAGAGCATTCTTGACTTCCTCGATATGACGCCGACTCTCCTCCGCTTGTTTGTGAAGTGGGACGGGGAGCACCTCGCTGGTCTGCAGGAGGATTTGCTCCTTCGCCTGCTTCGTGATCTCTTGCCTGATGGTTTCCCGGATTTGCTGCCTTGAAATACCGGAGACAGTGTTACATTACTCCTAGTCATGGTCCAAACAGAATAAAGAGAGAGGCAAACCCCATCTCGTCCGCGGCTTTGACTTTGATCTCCTCCTTGATCATCCGCCTGATCTCATTGACTCGGATGTCCTGCTCCTTCTCTTGATTCCTAATCTGGTGGCGCAGAGAGGAGAGTTGGGTCACTGCCATCTCCTATGGGCACGAAGTCAGCCTGAATATTCGGGGGAAAAATCATGCTGCGCACCATCGTGGGTCCCAGCGACGAGACTTGAGCCGACTGCTCATTCAAAGTGCGGAACGTCTGGTCACTGCAAAGGCTGGTGAGACAGCGCCCCGGATAGGGCTTATGGTGAATTGACTTGCAGGTTCCCCAAAGTAACCTTCATCGCTCCCAGCAGCTCCCGCACCGCTGCCGTATCGACGGTGGGCGGGACTTCCACCGGAGCCGGTGTCGCAGTAGCACCTGTGGAGTCAGACATGCCTTGTGATGTAAGCTACACTAGCAATGAAGATCACTAGCGGTATGAATGACAAGAGGGTGTGAACCGCGTTGGAAAGCAGCACCACTACCAGGATGATCGCGATAGCGAGGGGCCCCGGGGTAGTCATTTTTAAGTGAGTTTATACAAGGGAGAAGTCAGCGGTTCATACATGAGGCCTGCGGGAGAGCAGGCCACTACCGCAGCACCACAATCGCACCACGTTCCCTCCCATGCGCCATGCTAGCTGCGGTAGGTGAACCCACGATGGTGGGACGCGTCGAGAAGGGCAGGGCCCACACTAGATTCAAATCGGGTAGTGTGATACCACCGGTGGCCCCGCTGTGCACAGCTTCGTCATATTCACTTGTCGAGATCGCTGCTCAGGGTCCTCTCGGAGGCCGATAATTCACACAAACGGGCTGTCGTCGCGGGAGTGAGATCAGTTGTATGCATACATATATGTGCCATTAGTGTGCCAAGGACTTGGAGCTCTAGAAGTCCTCGCGTACGAACATCCGAGCTGGTCCCATGTCATGCCAGTACCTGCGCTGCATCGACCACTGCTCGTGGCTGCAAAACGCAACCCTTATCTCGTCGGCCTTGTCGATGTTCAGGTCGAGAATACATGTGTTCACGAACTGCAACGCATACTGATGTAGGCATCAGTACTGGGTTGAGCAGACACGTCGGTCACCCGGAGCCCGGGCAAAACTCCAGCCCTCCACGTGATAGCAAAACTTCTCGGCGCCTGAATGCGCACGGACCACCCTCAGAAGACATATAAACCGGGCACCGAACAACTATGTTTCTTCAGAACATACTCAGCTAGGATCTATTTTATAGGTACTAACTCGAGTCTCGCATGTTTACACATGCCACATCCTTCAAGTCTAGTCGATGACACCAGCGCTCCCTCGTATAACCGAGAACATGGCCGCCCCACGGTGGTCTCGAGGACGTTTGGTTCGTGGCTCTTGCGCGCTGCTTGCAGCCGCGGGACTGCGAGCCAGCGAGGAGAGCGTATGTCTGATAGACTTCTTAGTAGTCACTTGTTTGTGCTGTTCCTTTGTTCAGGGCTTAAATGCGAAATTCTTCTCCACCAAACTTCTCATTGGACTATGTAGTGTGATGTGCAAAGCGACGTTTCGGTCTGAAAAACATGTGTGCAAGAGAAGAAAAACAACTTCTAATAATGATATGTACGAGTATGCGGTGAACATCCTATCGCGGGGTCTGTGCCAGTTTTGTGAACACCTTCTCATATAGCCGCCTCCCCACAACGCGCACGGCCGTAATGTCGCATATCACCCCAATGTCGATCGGAGCAAACTGGCCCTTGACACCCTGGGCAACAGCTTCCTTGATCGCCTCCGAGACCAGTGCACGGAAGTCCGGTATGGGCTGCAAAGCTCCCGTGTTTGCCAGCGAGGTCGATTTCGAAGGCGCGCCAGACTTCCGGGGGCCGCGCGAGTCCGCAGGCTCGTCGAAGAGCGTATGCGATCCGTCGAGAATCACAATGCGTGCGCCAGTCATTAACCTGAAATCGAGCGCGTGGCGAAGATCGCCATACAGGATGCGGAACCAACCCGCGGACTTTGGGAATGTGTCGATCAGATGGCCTTGCTGCGCTGCCTTGACGCGGATGTCCTCCAGCTCGGCTACGACGGGCAGCGTCTCGCGGAGGAGGGCGACGAGTCGATGGAGGGCGGTGGAGAGCTTTCCGTGCCCGAGGAGGTTGCAGAGGTACACCTCCGCATCTTCGTGGGGGTTGTGGAGCGCGTCAAGTTCGTCATCGACCTGCATGAAGTCGTCGGACGGCACCCGGGAGAAGCGGAGGTGGTATGAGCTGCGATTTGTGGCGAGCTGGTCCGTGCAGGTGAGGGAGACTGAGTAGTTGTCGGCGTATGCGAACTCGACGGTCTGAAGGTCGAAGGAGATGAGTCGGACATCTGTCCACAAGTACTTCGTAGACATTTGAGCCACTGACAGGTAGGTCAGCGTCGGAATCGGAGAACGCGTAAGGAAGGGCCGTACCTTCACGCGCGATGACGACCATCTTTGACACACGCGCCCACTCCTCCAGGAACTCGTCTACACACTTGTCGACGTTGTCAGACAAGAAGGAAACGATCGCTTCCCGCGTATCGTAGATGATGCGTTTTGATGGTCGTATGACGGTGCTGCCGCTGGCGCGCTTGCCTATAGGCTGCTGTACATACTTCAGCTTGACACAGGTAACGACCTTCGCTATATCGGTCGACCACCAGTTGAGAGGGATGACGCGGATATTTGGCATGGCGGCTTCCGCGGCGGGTGCACCGGACAGAATATCTGAGGACTGCACACAGAGCGCTGGGATCGTCCGCGCCAGGGAGGACTGGACATTACCGAACTCGGAGAAGGACGACGGATTGAGCGTCGAGCTGACATGGGTGTAGGGAATGCCGCGTAGCTTGAACTGCTGTTCCACCTTGGTGTAGGCAACTCGTGCACTAAATGCAACCATATCAGTAACGGATAGAACATATCGAGGTCAGTCAAATGAGAAGCAAGGCTCACCAGCAGTATGCATACAGCTCCCGAAGGACATTCGTCTCCAGACGGAAGCTGGTGGGATACTGCTCCCCACTCGGCCCCACCCGTCCCGAGCCGTCCTCTCGTTTCCGCTTCTGACCAGTTATGTGATCGGGCCCCATGCCTCCTTCTATTGTGACCTGGTCGCCATGTATTCGACGGACGTTGAGCCAGCCGATGTCCTCCATGACGAGATCGTGGTTCATTGAGTGCTCGACCTCCTTCGCGCTTATGAGCGCATACCGGAAGTCCTGATCGGTGATGACGAGGACGAGGTAGTGCGTCGGGAAGTTGCCCAGCTGGATGTAGATCTGGCCTTGAGCGTCCTGACCGAGCTTCTTGATCTCTGTGCCCCGAAGTGTTAAGTCACGCGAGACACTGTGGAAGGAGAAAACAAAGCGGACTAACCGTCGGCGGAGAAGTTGCGAGTCCGGAAACTTTGTAAGCCGAGATATTGCACCTTCTGCTCCGCAAGGTCGGTGATGGTCTTAAAAAATACTGCGTGAGCAAACTCCGACTTATGGGTGACCAATCACTTACAGCATTCCGCAATAAGACAAGAGCCTGCGGAAGCATGAATGGCGCGTCATTCAGTCGCTGCGTGATGGCGGCGAAGCGGGGCCCACGACCAGCAGCCGCAAGATCACCGGTGTCACGCAGGGTAAGCCGTCCCGTCCGTGGGTCGACAGTGACAATGACGACCTCGTCAGCGCATAAGTGTATCCGCAAGGAAGGCGCGCCTTCTGCAGAGCAAATGAGTATGCAGGCGAATGCGAGCTATGTCTCTACTCTTACCGTTCGAGACAAAGACGACCTCCCCTTGCGGCGAGAAGATGTTGCGCGTCACCGCGCCACGCTGCAGCTGCGTTTGGAAGAACTTCATGACGCTTTCGGTATGACGTCGTATGACCTTCAGAAGCAGGCTCTCCATATCGAGATTCTCCGGATCCTGGCAGGCACACGACCGATTAGCTCTGCACCTCTCGTCTCGAAAACCCCCAAGAACAATCGGGAACAATCATGGGTGGTTGTGGACAGGAGACGTACGATTCGAAGCTGCTCAAGCGGCATGAACAGGTCTTCTAGGGCAGGGGTAACGCCGAGCGCACCGTTCTCCGGCTCCCAGCGCACGTCAAAGCGCATGTGCTCAACCTCGTCCGACGGTCGAGACTCGTCGAGCTTCGAGCGCGACTGCAGCTCAGCAAGCACGCGCGCGCGCGGCGATCGAGACGCTTTGTGGCCCGTCTTCTCTTTCACTTGGACGATGGAGATGGTCAATTTTCCGCCTAACGCCGGCAAGGGTCTCTGCTGTGGCGGTCGCTTCTGATTGGGGGGTGGGGGTTTCCGTACCCAGTACTTCACAGCCATGGTCTGGCGGTTATTGGTCATCTCGACGGACATGAACTCGGCCCAGCCTAATGAGCGCATGCGCTCGGCCTGCATAGGGTCAGAGTGAGCCGTTGTCGGAGTAGAATTCTGATACCAACCTGATACCAGAGGATCTCGAGCTGGTACGATAACGACATCATCTCTGCCGTCGGGCAATGTGAGTTGGTTCAATTCATCGATAATGTACGAGGAACCTTACGCAAGAAGTTGAACACGCGGACCAAAGGCGCGTCAACCACACCTTGAGGTAGCTGCGGACGTGGTGCTGGCTCAACGCCCGGCGGTGGAGGTTCGTCCGGAGGTAGATAGAATGCGAGACGCGCATCCGCCTCCTCTGTGATGTTACGTTTCAGTATGCCCGAAGGCGTCCGCGGGAACTCTGTTACAGTAAGTACGACGATTGTGGGAAGAGCTTCCTGGTATTTTACCTTGCATCCCTGTCTGGTCGCCGCCGACGGTAAACAGAAAGGTAACATTCACAAAGAACCAACCATCGTTGCTCCGGGCGCCCCGTAGGCACAAGGATAACTCGAAGAGTTTAGGAGCAGTGAAGAATACCCGTCCGGCACCTGCTCGCCAGAGGTCGTGAACAGCCAAACTACTTGCGCCAGGTGCCAGCTTACCTATTCGATACTCAGACATTTCCCATGGCACGATTTCCGACATTCGGAGGCGGTAGCGCATAGCGTCCTCGATGTCAGCAAATGTTCTCGCGACTTCGTCGTCCGTCAGAGGAGTTGGAGGAACAATGAGTTCCTGTGAAGCTCTGCGGTTGGATATCCGCAAATGTATACAGGGAAAAGGTGCCCACCTTGATACATGATGGCAATCGGCGATATGTGCTAGTCGTTAAAACGTCCAGGGAGGTGAGGAGGTCATGATTTCGTAGTCTGCAAACGTAACGTCTTAGTTCGCGGACGCAATGAAGGGAGCAGAAGGGTTCTGGTAACGTCGGCACGACCGCAGCGCGCCGTCCTACCACATCACGATAAACTGACGTACCTAGCTGGGTCTAGCGCGTCTCGGCCATACTTGAGGCCCAGGATAGCGTCTTCAAACTGCCGATTCTGGTCCATGAGAAATGCCGTGATGTTCTGATCCTATGTGTGAGTCCAAACATAGTCTCAGCACGCAAAAGCCGGGTATACCATGGCCTTCTGGACCACTCCAGCGTCGCGAGACCACTTGGCGATAGCATAGACCTTCACAACCTGGCGCTTCATCTTCACGACCCAGTCCGCAAGTTGTCGTTTGCGAGCCGTGTCGGACATATGGGGCATACTGCCACAGACGGGATGAGACATGTAGCACGGGGCTCTCACCCGCAGCGCACTCACGTTTCCGCCATCTCAACGAGTTCCGCGTACATCGACTGAGCAAGCCTAGACACAAGCTCTCCAAGCGGTATTTGGCCATCATGAACCAACGGGAGTTCACTCTCGAGTACTTCGAGCGGAAGTTCATGAGCTTCAGTCTTGCCATTTAGGAGGGTTGCATGGGAGGTGCCATTCACAAGGCGGCCGTTGACGGCCGTGTCCATTGGAATCAGTGGAATTAGCGCTTATATCATGGACAACAAGCAGACAGGAGGGTGCGTGGCCAGACAGATGGCAGGCGGAGGGAGGTGTAGAAGGGAGGAGTGCAAGACGCACCGTCGCAAGTTACGCGCCACCCGGCGCGCGCTGTTCATTAGGCGCCTATCGTGTCCACGCCGTTCGGCGGCTGTGTCTTCTTTCCCTTTGTTCCTCCCTGTCTTCTTGAACGCCGTCGAGTCGTTCTTTCGATACAAGCTACAGGTTCGGGGATAAGAGCATCAAACAGAGCGTGAGTGTTACAGTTATTTTTTCCTGTCATGTCGCACGCTGTTTAATTCTTGAGGACAATACAGTATCTTTGAGTTCGAGATATCCCAATATACTGAAAATCTTGACCCGGCATAGGCCACTTGTATTTCGCTTTGAAAGTAGAATGAATCGTCGCGCTTTTGTAGAATGGTCTCCCGGTAACTCAAGGCCCTACGATAGACCAACCCTACAGTCGTTGGCGTATCAAACTGCAGTCGATGCTGTTTGCCCGTACGATTTGCAACGCCATCGACCAGCGTTTGCCTGCCTGTTTGGGGCCGGCCGCGGTCGATCTGCAACTAGGACCGCGCGAGCCATGCCAGATCACCAGATGAAAGTCTTAAACCAATGATAGGAGGTGAAAATAGTGTCGAATTACATTCTCTGAAAGATTGAGCGCGATACTGTTGTCTTAGGCATCGTAGGCACTATCTCTTGTACTACACCCGGCGTCGAGGGAGTTGAGTGTTGAGGAGTACATTCTCCGGGATGGCCGCCCTAGCCGGTACCTGACGGCGGAACAAACGCGCGCAGATTGGCTCCGAGGATGCGCGCGACTCAGCGGAACGACGCGGCTTTCATGATACGCAAACGACTGCAAGTCGACCGTATCTCCGATGCTGTCAGCGTGGTATACCGAATGCTCGGCCTTTGCTGGCACGGCTTTCACACGAGGTTCGCTTATGACTCGAACTTCGGGATTCTCTCATAACGCATGGGCATAGAAGTTGCGAGCGGCGTCGGAAGCGGCGTCATATGCTCTAATCTGTACGTCCTGTACTCGCTCAATCCCCCGTCACAAGCAGCAGATAGTCAGCCTAGCTCAGTCAGTGGGACCTTATGGCAAATACGAGAAAGCGGCTTTCAGAGGTAGAAACATGTACTTGGTGATCCCACCTCACCTACTGATGACTTGAGCCGGTGTAGGTTAGGCCTCCTCAAGACCAAACGCTTCGACACATCTTCCCATTCAGTCTACAATGCTATGGCAGCAAGCGCAGGCTCAGGTTGGAAAGCGTGATGTCTCCAGACGGACGGAATACCGGGTTCCGTCACAAGGGCGAGTGTTTCCACGGTAGACTCACAGTGTAAGCCAATCTTATGTCGAGTTCTACCGAGCTACATTGCCGCGACCTATTGATGTCATGATAGCCTTCGTGCAAGGGTTCTTTTCCACTTTGCGACCGCACCTCGACCAAAACAGTAGCCAGTATTACTACTGTTACGAAACCTCAGCCTCGTCGAGGCAGCGTCGGAAGTAAGTTCAGACGCTGAAGTCTTCGCATAAAAAGCGACGCCTTCAGAATCTAGACAGCGTCCATCCTCCCAACAACAGTAGCAGCTATCGATACATCAGCCATTCCAATGTCCTTCTATGTGCCAGCGGCGTTACTTGTGGTCGGCGCTCTCCTCGTCCTCCTTCGCTTGTTCAACCGCGGCGGCATCAAGCATATCCGTGGCCCCCCGTCCCCGTCCTTCATTCTCGGTGAGTCGAAGTTGTTAACCTCTCCTATGTGATACACACTGACTCGCAATGCTCAGGTCATGAGGCCGCAATCGCCCATCAGGAAGAAGCGGGCACCCTAGACACGCAATGGATGAAAGAGTATGGTCCTACATGGCGAGTTCGAGGTGCCTTCGGGGTAGAGTAAATTTTGTTATGTCACATTCGCTTCAGGATTAACGCTTGGTGCAGACGGATGTTATCATGAGTGCAGATCCCAAGGTACGGCCCCGGCTGCATCACTGGCATCGAGGTGACTTGAAAGTAAGATGTTGATCGGTGTGCTCGCTACTCAGGCTATCCAGCACGTATTCCAGAAGTCAGGCTACAATTACCCGAAGAAGGAGTCCCAGAATTTCTTAGGATGGCTTCTAGCAGGTCCTGGTATAGCAGCGGTCAGAGGTGTGTACATGTGCTAGAACGTCGGCTTATTGAAACCAATGGTTGAGCAACTCGGATGCAGGTCAAGACCATCAGCGTCAGCGGAAAATAATGAACCCGGCGTTCAGCGTGCCCCAGCTCCGAAGCTTCTTGCCTCTATTCCAGCGCATTGCGACCAAGGTATGGTTCCTTGTTATGTTGTTGTAGACGTCATACTCATCCTGACTTTCCTGTATTCCAAGCTTTCGAACAAATGGAAGGGAGAGCTCGTGGCCACTGGTGAGCTCAGCCTGCTGTTAAACAAATGGCTGTCGCGTGCAACACTGGATGTGATCGGGGAAGGTAACTGTCACCCATCTCGGACATCTCTTGTCAACACTGAAGCGCAATTTAGCGGCGTTCGATTACAACTATCATTCTCTTGATGACGGAGAACGCAGCGAGATCTCGAAAGCCTACGAGAACATCTTGTGAGTGGCGGAAGCTACTGTCTCCTCTTCGCGAGCTGCTAATCAATTTTGTGCAGCGCGGACATGAGTTACATGCCGCCGAAGGCAGCCGTACTGTTCCAAGCCTCTTGGGATTACATTCCGGTGCCTATCCTCAAGTTAATCAGATATCTCCCCCTCAATCCCTGGACTCGCATGAGGAAGCTTAATAACCTGTTCCGGGAGTACGGCAAGCAGATCCTCCGAGAGCAGGGTCCTGATGTGGATACGGAGAAGAAAGTCAACAGTAAGGATGTGATGAGCATTCTCAGTGAGGGTTTTACTCTAGCATTCTGTGCTGTCATGGGCACAGTGGGGCTCACGAGGGATTTTCCAGTCAAGGCGAATCATTCCGCGGACGCCAAGACTCGCCTGGATGACGAGGAGCTCTCCGCAGAGATGTTCACGCTTACCCTCGCTGGCCACGAAACCACTTCTGCTACGCTCACATTCCTCCTATACGAACTGGCGAGGCACCCCGAGTACCAAGAGCGCATGCGTCAGGAGATCAGAGATGTTCGCGCCAAGGTGGCACAGCGTGGTGGGGCTGAATTCGCCACCGAGGATCTAGACTCCTTGACTCTCACTAACAATGCTATCAAGGCAAATTGTACTCTTATTCTGGCGAGGCTGAGGTCTCATGATTTGCCTACAGGAGACCCTCCGGTTCCATCCGATCGCCCTCGGTCTTGCTCGTGTCGCCCTCAAAGACGATGTGATTCCGCTCGCGTATCCGATCGTGTCGACGACGGGCGAGACGATCAGAGAGATACCGGTCAAGGCCGGACAGGTATTCTCTGCGTCGTTTATCGGATACCAACGGTACGTTCTCTTGTTGCATGCGTGGCATCATCATGACTCGGCATCCCGCAGCCTGACGGAAGTCTGGGGCGAGGACGCCAATGAGTGGAACCCCGACCGCTTCTTCCGGATTGACGCTGTCAAGCAGCCTGCGAATGTCGGCGTTTTCGCAAATCTGTGAGTCCTGGCATCGATCATGATTGTCCTGTCAAGCATGCTGATCATATCCGTCCAATAGTTTGACATTCTGTGAGCACTGGCTCTTTACTTGACACTGATACATCGTTGACCCCTACCTGTAGCTGCTGGAATCCGGGCCTGCATTGGATGGCGGTTCTCGTGCGTACCAGGGCTATCCTGTTCTCCGCCTGCCAAATTGCCTGACGTCTATGATGCTGATACAGGGTTCTGGAGATGCAAGCATTCCTGTCCGAGCTGGTGGAGAACTTTCAATTCGACCTGCCGAAGGAGAAGGTCGATATCCAGCAGGCTGTGGCCGGTATCGGCATGTTCCCTGCCATCCGTGGTAAGGCGGACCAAGGTAGCGCGATGCCGCTTCGTATCTCGCTCGCGCAGTGAGCGTAGGGTTTATGAGCCGCGCCGCTGGACAATGAGATGTCTTGTGTCTACGTGGATTCGGTAGTCATCCATTTGTATCTTGGACGCATCGTTAGGGAGACATGTTGACTCACTAACCAACACGGCGCCACTAGTATGGCACGTTTGGAGTGATTGAGCTGGGGCTGCTCACGTCGTCTGCCATCCACGTACAGTGGCACCGCATCTGAATGTCCCCTATCTCTCACAAAGTTGCCGCTGGGGATGCCCATCAACACAACACAATGATTAAGCGGAGACGTTTCCTGTCGTTACTGCGGCTGAGGGTCGCAAAATAACGACATAATCATGTCGACATCTCGAAGACACTTCTAGTGAAATTCTAGCATACTTTCACCCGAGATGTGAAAGCACGTAAGTTCTCCTTGAAGAAACTCGTGTGTCCGGAATACAAGGGTATAAGCATAAATATCGGTATGAGCGGGAGCCAACTTCTGCCTCAGACGCCTCACGACTTAGCCTTCTTTTGCTCTTTCAGGGCAGCAATACGCTATAGGATGAAATCAGCAAGGTGTAACAATTCCGAATGAAGCAGTGGCTCACTTGTTTTCTCTCCTCCTTCCGCCTCGCCATCTCCGCTGCCTTCTCCTCCTTAGACATCCCGGCCGTGCTTGGGGCGGAGGGCCCGGCTGGGGATGCCGCGTCGGCTTTGCCACTGTCTGATGGTGTTATAGAGCGTGCAGCGGAAGCTGGTCGAGGGCTTGTTAGTGGTGAAACCATGCGCGGAGCTGTTGAGAGACGGGGTTGCGGCGCTACTAGCGGTTTAGGTGGCGGGGCGGCCGGCGCTGGAGCTGACCATGGGTCTAGGAGTCGGTGCATCAGCTCCTAGTCACGATATTACTGTGTAGGGAGGTTGGATATACCTGGGGAGCGCACGTTTCCAAAACCGAAATCAGTCGGTTCTGAAGCCGTCGCGAGCGGGGCCGTCTCAAACGCACCTACCAGAATCAGGACGCTTAGTACGCTTTCCTTTGAAATGTCCGTCAAAGAAAGACAAACTTACTCCAGTCGTCTTCGTCCGCGTTGACGTCCATTAGATCGTCATTCCCCCAGGGATTCGTAGCCGTACTCGTCGAAGCGTCGAGCTCCGCCGCAGCTTCCTCCGCCCAGTCCGACGCGCTTGACACGCTCGCGGGCACCTTCGTCGCCCCAAGTTGCATCCCCTTGCCTTTGCTCGCAGACGTCAGCGCCCGCGTCGGCCCCGTAACGCTCGACAGAGTCGGCGTCAACGGCATCCCGACTGGGCCTCCCCTAAAGCCACTAAGAGTCGAGGTCGAGCTGGGGTTAGGGGCGCTACCGACGTTCGCGGCGGGAGCGGACGTCGGACGATCGATGGATGTCCCAATGGTCGAAGCGACGGAGGACTGAAGCGTGCCAGAGGCGAGCTGTTTGCCGAGGGAGGAAATTGCCCAACCTGCGAGGGCACCCGCGGCGCCTGCAGCGCTGTTGACAAGGGCGTTGGGAGAGCTACCGTTGATCTGTACTTGGGGCATTTCGTTTTCGATGGTTGGGACTGTTTCGGGCTGTGGGGAGGCATCGGTGAGGAGGGAGAAGATGTGATGGGAGTGGGGAGGGAGGCATACCATTGTCGCGGCGTGTTCTTCAAGTTTCTTGACGAAGAGCTCCATGGCCTTGAATGCTTGGTCGCGTACCAGCCTGGGAGCTGGTCATCAGATCCACGTTCGACCCAAGGGAGAGTTAGACGACACACTTTTCCTTATCGACCAAAGTGAACGACATATTGGGGATGACTTTCGACGCAACGTCTTCGATGTCGAAGCAGTCAATCGTCGCCATGAAGGCCATGAGACCGGCGACGCGTGCATGGACGAACGGATCCTTGAGCGCGCGAGCGAACGCGGGGACGAGCACTTTACGCTTCGTGTTGTAGCCTAAAGATGGACCGAGACGCCCGATGAGGATACACGTGTTGGTGCGGATGGATGCTTCGGGGTCGGCTTGCATGCGTGCGAGGTGTCGAAGGAGATCATTGTTCATGATGCGCTCGTTGAACTGATCAGAGATGAGCATATGCAGCATGAACACCTGAATCAGAGAGCTGACTTTATCGGAAAGGAGTATAATGGACTTGATGGTTGCTTCGCGGATGATAGCGACAGTATCTCCAAAGCCGGTTTGCTACATAATTCTTATACAATCAGCCCCCCTTCGCATGCAGCCAGATAGGGCGACTCACGAGATTGGGCCAGATCTTGTCGCTGACGGTCTTCTTGTCTAGTTTGTCCGCGTACTCAGGCAGATGTTCAAGCAAGACCATTCGTATGCCTCGATCAGGGCTGGCGTACAGCTTCACTAGATGCGATAAGATCACGGACGAGTAGTCTTCTGGAGGCACGTTCTTGCCGAACTGCAGAACAAGGGGTACGATGCTGGCCGCAGATGCTCCACCGAACTCGAGTGCGGAGACGAGAGCCGGGAGGACTTTGTAGGAAGCGAACTCAGAGGGGAATGATGACGCAGACTCTTTCAGGGACCTGAAGTGGTATACTCAGTCTACGTTCGGAGTGCCAAAGTAGACAGACTTACCTGAGAAGAGTCGCCTTCTCCGACTCGCTTGCGAGATTGAAGTTGTCCAAGCCCGCGCAGACGATCACGAGACGATTTGTCGCAAAGAATCCCGAGCCTTCTCCTGCTGTCTGCGACATCCCCAGGTCCAGGAAGTGAGCAGGGGACAAGCGGGCTTTCGGATTGGGGTTAAGCAGTTTCTTATATGAGGGGAAGATAGATATCGGGATCTCCCCGCGTGATGCTGCAGTTGGTGGAGGGTGAGGTGGTTGTGCCGTTGCGGGTACTGGCTGGTTCGGGTTGAATGCAAAGTGGATGAGAAGGCCCAGGCCGTATGCGTCCGCTGCGGATATAGGCAATCTAGCCTGTAGTTAGCTACAGCCGCCCACAGATTGTCGTCAAGCATTACTCTTTGAGAGAGGAGTAGCCTCCTTTCTTGACCTCTGGTGGCGAGTACATCGACGCGTCGGGAAGCATCCCACCCAAGCTCTGAGAAGGGAATATCTCGATTATCATTCGGAGACCGACACAAGCGTACATACAGCAACGTACATAGAGAACAGCGGCATCGTCCTTGGGATTGCTCAAGACATCAAACCCTCCCAATTTCCATTCTCCGGAGGCCGAAATGAAGATAGAATCCACGCGGACATTACCATGGGTAGACGATGCAGAATCGTTCAAGAAAGTCAAAGCTACCTGGGTTATTATCAGCGCATTGATTGAAGGGTCTGTGCAGGGTTGCAACGCACCGAGACACGGTGGAGACCCCAGATGAGCCAGGCCTCCCTCTCTTGAGCACTCTTCGACTGCCATTCAGTGATAGCAGGTCCTAGAGGTCGTACGCGCTCCGTCATAATATGAATGGTGGCATCTGTCTCCACGACCTCCATAAACTTGAGGACATCCGGATGCCGGATTGTTCGCAACTTGCGAAGTGCATTCTTGGCAAGTGGTAGGAGGTTCTTCTTCGCAGGCGTGTTTGCTTCGAACTCGAAGACAGAAACTGGCAAGCTATCGTCCTAGCACAGCAAATCATGTCGATATGAGCGAGGAAGACATAGAAGCAGAACATCCTCACTCGTTTCGTGCCATCGTACAAGGACCATACTGTCCTGTTCTCGAAAGATGCAATCTTGGGGCCAAGCGAAAACGGTAAGTTTAATCCAGATTTCTGAACAAGTGTCGAGACAGCAGCAGATCCGAGCGTCCTCAGATAGTCCATCCCAGACTACCACCCAGGAGACTTTCGATGGAGACAGGAAAGATGGAGACAAGGAAAGAGGACAGAACTGGCGCGCGGCGGGGATCTACCCGCGGCGCCTACGTGTACTACCATCGGGCGTCCCAATGGGCGCTTGGAAGTCTTATGGGCGTCTACTGACGCGTGTGGCGACGACGGTGGGCGCCCTCCTTGTTCACCATCAACCGCGTCCCGCCCCGTCTGTTTGACGTTGCGCTCGTCGTCGGGGACGACATGGACGCATCTCCACCTCTCTCGATTCCCCGCCTTCGCTTGCCTAGGTACTCTCCACAGCACAGCGACCAAGCCCTTACCCCGGTCGCTGGTCCATCTCACCGCCTCGACCGCGATCATCTCCACGCCTCTGATGACGACGAGGATGCAGAGTCTACGCCACGCATGTCGGCAGCAGCGATACCAGACAAACAGTCTCCCCGCTCGGCTGCGTCCCCCGGGCTCCCTGCGTCGAACCCAACTGCACGTCTTCGGGCTCTCTTAGCTCGCGTTCCGAACTCGCCCAACGCTCATGCTTCCTCTTCCCGGCCGCCCATCACACTTCCCTCGAGCTCGGAGCCTGAATCCGACTTCGAACCACCGCATTCCATCCGGATCTCATCCAGCATCGCACGGGACAGCTTGAAGGAGCTATTCTCTAACGCGCTGCGCGAACCTGGAAACACCCCGCGTAAGGCTGGGCGGCCACGGAGGAATAGCATTGACGCGAGCGAGGTTGAGACGAGCATGAGCGTAGAAGAGGAGCGCGCGAAGTACAAGGCGAGGCGACGCACGCTCAGTGATGAGGAAGCGGAGAAGTCGAGTGAGTTAAGTTGGATGTGTTATTCCCCTCGCGTGCCTGACTTGAGACGTTCGAACGCACTGAAGCTTCAGGACGGTCGACGCGTTCTCCTGCTGCCTCCGCTTTCGACGCGCTCCGACAACGCCTCAATCAATCCACGTCGGCCATGCCTTCTCTATCGCACGACCGTACGTCTGCTCCACCTCTCGACGCGTCCTCTTCAACCAACCAAGCTTCTAGAAATGGTCATGGACATGTCTATGCCTCCTCCGAACTCGAGTACGGATACCGCCATGCAGCCTGGTGCTCCTGCCGATCAGTCCTCCGATACGCCACCTCGCGCCACCAGCACGCCTATGCGTACTTTCCAAATGTCTGCGAACATCACGAACATCAATATACACTCTAGTGAGTGCCTGCTTCTAGACAAGATCGTCCTCTTCTTGCGTTTCTTGGTTGCCGCACTTGACAATGGCGTGTAGTCTTGCATCGTGACTGCGCTCACGTGTCAATCGCTTGCATATCCTCTCTGCGCGTAGTCAGTCGTAAGCGAGTGGTGGCAGCGCGCATCACAGCTCTTGTTCTAAGCGCGCGTCCTTGTCGTGATTGGTGCGGAAGGGGTGGTGTGCTCAAAGCTGAGTGGCATATGGACTACGCCAGGGCTCGCAAGAGAGACAGACGCAGAGTACAGAAGTACGCGCTCGACAAATGGAAATTAGCGGGGGGGGGACCTTTTGGGTGTTGACTACCAGCTAGATTATCATCCCCTGTCGCGGCGAGGGAGGGCCTTTGCAAAGTGAGCTGAATCTCAAGAATCGAGCGGCTCTGAAAACGAACAGGGTCATAAATGGGGGCGTTGCAGAATTTATTGGCGTGCGGTTTTGGGCTCCTTTGATCGATGAAGCTCGTGGTCCTATTCTTCATCACGCTGTGTTTTATGCCCATTACAGTTACAGTTGCATTTGATGTCCCTTGCCCTTGTGTTTTATGCCCCTTGCAGTTCGTCGCGATTACTGTCTTTTCGGACATCATCAAACGTCATAGACAGATTGCTTACTGCTGTTCTAGATCTTATGGACCAAGATTCTGAAATGCAGCATGCGTTGCAAGACATGGATAGCTACGAAAGCGGTCGCGTTTCCAGGCATAGGCACAGCACGCCGTCACTTGATTCGCTCAAAAATCCCGTCGGTCCAACTCCACGACCGCAACCTCATCAGGCTTCTCCACGACCACTATCGTGGAGTTCCCATTCGAGGTCGCATTCAACGCACAACCTCCCGCAACCGCCGCCACCTCGTCGAGGGAGCGAAGACTATGACACATCCTGTACGTTTTTGAACGCGCTCGCGCGACATGCTTCTGACCTTGCGCCACAGCTTCCCGGGCAAGTTCCTCAATGTCTGGTGCTGATTGTCAGTTTGTGGACATGACATCGTAGTGAGCATAGTCTGATTTCTCTGCAGATCGCGAGCGGACCAACGATCCTAAGCGTGAGCAACTACACGATCGCGAGCGCGGCTGGAACTCTCCAGTGCCAAAGTTGCCGAAGCCCTCTGGAAAGCATGACCTCAGTCACCGCCACTCGTCGGGTTCGCTGAGGTATGGCCATGCTAGCCCTGGACCTCGATTATCACGGAAGAGTAGCGCTGCATCGTTGGCGAGCGTTTCGAACACTGATGGTCCGGGGTCGTCGAGGGCGTCTTCTCGGGCGAGCTCCGTGGCGTCACGGGCGGATTGTGAGTTCATTATACCTCGTGGGGAGCCGCTCGCTGACTGGTGGGGTACAGACAAGGAGCGTATGGCAGAGTTTGAGCAGGAGCGTAACAAGGAGCGGGAACGGGAATGGAACCGACCACATCAGAAGCTCTCGCGATCGTCGTCAAGTCTCAGCCTCAACAAGAGCGAGCGTGTCCGGACCACCAGCATACCATCGCGCCCAGACTCCGCAGCGTCGTACCTATCTCCTGTGGCGCGGACGCCCTTGCATCGGCATGGGTCTTCGAACTCGCTCTCTAGTTCGAGACCGAGCTCGCCAGCGACGTCTATATCCGCCCATGATGTCGAGGAGGTGATCGAGCACGAGTTCGAACACCAACGCGAGCGCAACTGGAACGCACCTCGGCCGGACTGGAGCAACCCGCTGTATCACCGGCGGTCACTGTCACCCTTACCACGATCCCGCCCAGGTTCTCCAACCACTACCCCGCCACATCCGCCAATCAAGTCCACGACGACGTCACGTAGTCGTGCGAACAGCACTACTCACAGGGACGGTCTCAGTGTCCCGTCCTCGGTTCCGCGAAGCAAGTCTCCTATACCAGGAGACAGGCATCCACGACCCAGGTCGCCGTTGCCGCGGGCGCTTACAGACAAGTCGCCATCGTCACACGCACGTCCAAAATCACCTGTGCCGCCTACGCCCCCCCTTGAGAAGAACGAGCCCACCCAGTCTACTCCGGCTTTCCGTTCGCGATTTGGCTGGTCGTTCCCTCAGCACAAGGTCCAGCTTCCACCACTGGAGCTCGACCAGGACTCGCCTGAGAAGTCTGCGCCACGGCCGTCGAGCCGAGCATCGCTCTCCGCTACTGCGTCTACTCCTAGTCATATTCCAGTCCGATCCCCCAGGAAGAGCCTGCATAGTTCGACACCATCTGCGGCCAACGTATCCGATAAGAAGAAAAGTCATAGGAGAAGCGTGACTGAATTCAGCGAATCCATTGGGGCTTTGCCACCACGTATAGAGATTAGCAGCGACGATGTTGGCGATGAGCTGCCTCCAGTACCCATTGTGAATGGCAATGACGACTTGGCTTCTGGTGAGCAATCCCACTACTTAGCTGCCGTAGAGGCGCTCACGTCGTGGCATTTCAGCGAGCGAAGACGAGTCCAAAATCGCCACGGGTACCCCCACTGCGAAACCCAGGCCACTACCACCTCCCGAGATTACGACAACGTCTGCAACTGAACCACCAACTCACGTCATCCCCAATGGACACCCATTACCAGTGCAGATCGCGCAACCACAGCCGCGACCGGAGTCCCCTCTTGTGTCACCCCCTCTCACACCGCCCGGCGCAGATTCCCAGCCCATCTTCAACTTGCAGACCCCGCCACGGCGACCGCAGTTCCACACGCCTAGACAGGAGTTCGAGACCCCGCCCCCGCCTCGGGGTATGCCCGACCTTCCAGGCCCTCCCTCGTCTGAGGACGAGAGGGAGGAGCACACACCGCTGATGCAAAGCCGAGATGTTCAAGGCGATCTTACCGCGATGAAGACGCCACGCCCACCTGGCGCCTGGTTGATGACCCCTGCGCCATCCCGACAATTCATCAGTGAGCCAGAGGAGGCGGAGCGCTCCTCGGACACAGCTCCCCCTGAGGCCAATTCGTCAGCTGACAGCGGACTGGCAACTCCACCGTTAACTCTCTCCCGGGCACAGACGTTCCCGCTCCAGACGCCGGCGCCGCCCGGAGGCTGGGTTGCTACTCCAGCACCGGCCACTGCATCGCGTAGGCGGGGGAGCTTGTTGAAGGTCCGTTTTGACCTAGAGTCCGAGACTGCGTCGGAGGGTGCTGCTCCGTCTGCGGAAGACGGGAGCATGGGGTCGGAAGCGGACCCCCGTCAGCAGCCTGCAGGCGCGGACGCCTCTGGGCAACTGCTCAATGGCACTGGCAATGGGGATGCATCAGCGGCATCTAGTGTAGAGCCCACAGAGTCGTCGGTCGAGCCTCCTCCCACGCCCCCATCCTTGCGTGAGCGTATTCGCAAGAAGTCACCCAGCATTAGGATATTGGATGCGTACGGACGAGAGCACGTCGAAACTGAACCTGTCGCGCAAAGCGAAAGTGTCCCAGATCCTACGGAAGTGCCGCCCCCCGATCCTCGACAACAACGATCGTCAACTCCTCCCATCCCACGCAAAGATGGTCTCATGAATTCGGTCGCCACTCCACGTAATAGGAGCGGAGTGCGTGTTGTCGATGCCATGGGGCGGGAGATCGAGGAAGACGATTCGCTGCCTTTGGTAGACGACGAGTCCATCCTCAGCAACACGCCTCTGTCCCACAACGAGGCGCTGACTCGGATGCGCGATACGCTGTCGAGCATGAAGCAGGAGCTGAGCGACGCTGACAGGTACGCGGTCCCGCCCGCGGCCGAGAAGGTATTTTTCGTCTAATTGTGGCTTAGCAGGTCCACCGACAAAGCCGTTTTTGACAAACGCACCTATGCTGCTTTGCAGGAGCAATGTCGCAATGCGCAACTCACTCGGAGCAAGATAGCGAAGTCGCTTCAGGTGGCGCAGAGCGCGGAGAGCAAGTTTGTAAATCACGCACTGTTCCGGACCAAAATTGGCAACGAGACGAGCGCGCTGCTGGTGAGCTTCGTGATTTTGGCATCATAGTGTGTGCAGGAGGATCCTGAGAATCGTCGTGATTTGCACAGCCCACAGACGATGCTGAGGTGCGACTTGGGTGGAGCCTCCTCACCTGGCGCTCCCTTGCTTGCTTGATTCTTGTGCAGTTATTGCTGCTAGCCATCATGTACCGGTACGTTCCCCACAGTTCTCTTGAATTCATGATCTTTGGCCGATACTGAGATTGCATCCGCCAGGTACGCCCATGTCCAGGCGAAGAAGATCTTCCTGACGACATATTACGACTCATTCAACCCGGATCTCTACATTTACCTCCTCAAACCCGATACCACCAACTACTTGATACCCACATGCCCTTCATGGTCTATATTCTCGGTCTTCGGCAGCCTGCAGCGCGCCAGTTGGAGAGGTGTCTTTGCCGACGCATGGGAGAGCGCGAGCTGCGCCTTCTCATCTCATCTACAGTTGACCTGGGCCGGATGGCATCACGCTCAGGACACCGTCCCACGCACCTGGCCACCAACATGACCCGAATTGCACCGCTAACACGCACCTATATAATTGAACTCATCATCACTATGTTGATTGCCTACGCATGTTCTCTAGGTTTAAGTTATAGCTCTTGATTTTATGTTAGCCCTGTAATGACTATGTTGTAACTGCCTCGGTGCCTTATTGACCACTCGGGTTGCCCGCGGGCGGGTCACAAATACCTAGACATCTCTTCTGATGTGCACCGCTCCCTCCAGTATCGCCGCTGTCTTGCATTCCGTGTTCAGAGTTGCGTCCATCCCTTGTTAGTATGTGCTGCCACTGGTGAGCACTCGCTCCTGTTGCAGAGCCCACGATAGCCCCCCTCGGGACATGCCTGCAGTGGTTGAGCTGATATCTCTTGCAGTCCTCTCTCCGGTCCGAGGAACAGCATACGGCGCAGACTGAGCTCTTTACCAATACATTCGTGTTTCATCTATGCTGGGACGGGAAAGACACTCAGTCAATCTGCGTACGATATTTATTCAAACCTGTGGCGTTCAATGCTGGAGCGGACATTTTGCTGTGAAGCTCAAAGGCGTCTAGACGTCTGAGACTGTGAGACAGCCTCGGCGGAGTCGAGCGCTTGGCACTCGACTGCGCATCCGACCCTCGTATAGCTGCCGTCTCTTGGCTTCATCTACTCGCGCCGCAGTTTCGCGGACTTCGGAGTGCCTACGTGCCCTTCAGGAGCGTGGGTTATTACTTAGCGGAAAGGTACGCCTCCATGAAACATTCATGGCGTTTCACACCGCGGATTCTGAGCAACCGCATATTCGTTTGGCACTCGACCACATGCGTAACGATTTTGTATTTACCACAACGGCTACTTGGGAGACTATTGAGGAGACCCAGTATCGAGGGACTGTGCCTGATCACTACGGATGTAGTCATCGGGCACTTGATCTCGCCAAACCGGGGGCACACTGGAGGCGCAGAGGCGATCGGGCTGACTGGATCTGGACGAGAGGCGGCGGTCACCGCCCCGAAGCTGGATCCTGCTCAAACATTTGTCTTTGGCTCCATCATGGCGACACCTTGGCGACTGGACATGCCTCGCCTCCGCTCGCCATCAGAACATTCCTACCTTCGTCGCAGCATCAGGTTGCGGGGTATGGTCATTCTAAGCAGGGAAGATTGTCGAGCCGCGGCGAGACGAAACTCGACCGCGTCGCGTCTCAACAATATATCTACCTGGTACCGAGGTGCCATGGCCCGTACAATCCCCTCAACTACGGACCCTCTGCGTCTGGTCGCACCTTGTAACATCACTTACCTTCCTTCTCATTGCTCTGTGCCCTTCTCGGTTAGTGTGCCGTCTCGGTGAAACGAGGTAGTTCATCATGCCTTCCGGTGTTGTCCCCCAACTACCTCCACAGCTACCTCCGTTGCCCTCACAGCCGTCTCTGGCTACTCCTTCGAATTGGAAGCTGCATTATCCACCCGAGGACATCATCATTCCGGTCAGCTCAAGCTTCCCACCGAGCTCGTGGACTACAACCTCAGGACCTGGTCCCCTCAGGCAGACGAACTCAACGTCCCCGCGCCGGTTACCTAATCCTTCTCAGCAACGAGTCGCAGGCGACTCGTCGTCTCTTTCCCACCCCGGCCATGCGCTTTCCTCATCTAATCCGAGCTCGTCTTCCGGGCGCCTTGCGCATTCACATTCTCGAAGTGGTCCACGCGTACCGTTGCCCGTCCTCCCATCTGCTTCTTCGGCAGAGCCCATCGTGATCTCACCGCCCACAAGGACTCACTCTCGCAGTGTTTCCATCCCTGCCATCAGGCCCCCGCCAACCTCGCGACCCAACCACACAGGTGAGGACCCCCACGGGATTCCTCCACAACCACCCGCCGCCGACAACGATGTGTCGCGTCCCCTCCACAAACCCCCCAAACACGCGCCTCCTCCGCTGCCACTTCTGGATCAGGTGCCCGTGCGGGAGCAGTCCTTGCCACCGAGACAGACGTCGGCAATGATCGACGGCGCAGCACTTCCGATTCAGACCACTTCCATAACTCGGAGTCCTGAAACGCCACAATCCGCGCCCCCCTTGCGGCCTCAAGTGACACGCCTCAACTCTTCGCCACGATCGACGCCATCTATGGACCAGAGGCAAACCCCATCTCCCACTGCATCTCCCGTTCCCGTGCCCCTCCCCGCACCATCTCGGCGATCAGATAGGGAGACGGGTACAGAGCAAGGTCGCGAGAAGGAGAAGTCGAGGGCGAAGCTGAATGGAATTAGGGAGTTTGTGGTGCTGAGTCCAGACCAGCCGTTCATGGACGCTCGTCTGCCCAAGCGCCCGCCTACGCCTCCCAAAGCGCGCTCAACAGGACTTCCCTCTACTCCTGCTCCTAAATCGCGCCATGGGACGGCTCCGAGCAATCGAACTCATACTGCCTCCGAGCATACGCCGGAGCCAAGACTCCAAGACGCCCCTTCCGCCCGTAGCCCGCCTCCCTCTGCGTCCACGGCTGCTGCACGAGGCCAAACGGTCGATCTCGTGTTACGTCCCCTTCCTGGCTTGTTCACCAACAACACCAATTCCATAAGTCCTGCGCCGTCCCCTCAGTCTCTCGCCAACATCACAGGGTACACGCGTAAATGGGTGGTGGAGAAGAATGGGAAGCGCTTGACTCAGGACACCATGGTCGTCGCACAGCAACTGCGGATGTTGCGGTGAACCATTTCACCCTCATGCGGGTTGGGTGCTATCATGGATGGACGTCGAGCATTCAGGATCGGGCACGATCAATGGAGGCGTGGTCGTCATGCATCTTCTATAGAGAATGTACATTAGCAACGACACCGCGTCTGGCTATCGGCTTGTGAGTTCATCATCTTGCTCCGTCCGGCTATGCAGGTTACTGAATCATACGCTCATCAGTTTCATGGGTGCTGGGCCCGGTCAGGATCCAGATGCGTGAGGCTATGAGCCTGGGCGCAAAGCGCTTCGTTCATTATGATGGTATAGAATCACTCGATCCGTCTCGAAGGGGAACCATCGGTCCGCATTGTGCTGGAACATGGGTCTCCTTGTTTTTGCTTCACCTTCCTAAGGAATTCGCTCACTACTAGTCGCTTCGTATCCCTCTACAACCCTAGACCCACCGCTCCATCTATTTACGATATAATCAGGATGTAAGAGTACCGTCTTCTGGTAGCCGGCGTATGGCACCGTCGTAATAGACCCATTCAAAGCTCTGTTCCTTGCGGTGTCATCTGATGGGCTCGGAGCAGCTTCGTGTCAGTGTTGTTCAAGTTCGAGCAAGTGAACCCCACGCCATTATACGGAATTTTGAGTGCCCTGCCGACTGCCAACACCGCAGTATCTGCTGCACAGTGAGTTTCATTTCTGTAGCCAATGTTGGGGAGTTGCTCGGTGTGTCTCGGTGTCGTCCTGTTTTGGGAGTTGTTCCCAGATCGCAGACTGGGCGCAGCCGAAAATGATATAGCACGGCCCACCGAGCTTCTGACCATCCTTCCCGTCATGCAAGTCATCCAGCCGACCGGCGCGTACCCAAGCAACCCAGATGGTGTACTCGTCTTCACCTTTATGGACGGCATGACGATTGGACTTCGAACTGTAAGCTGACATCCGAGTCGAATGTATTGACTCCTTGCCTTCGAGGCCTAGGGGCCCTAGGCCTCCTTGGACAGCACACTGCTCCCAGCTATGCAATGCACGGACAGGGGTGTATCTCATGATCGTCTGGGTGGAGTAGACGCGGGAAGGTCCGCGGTTGAGTCGCTCGGAACCCTATCATTCAAGACACCCCTCATCACTGCTAGTCAACATGTTTCCACTACGACGTGTCAGAGATACAAGTGACATATTCCCGGATACACATACACCTGAGGCACCTAGTTGTCCAGCGACGCAGCCAATCAAACCTACGCTCACTGCGCGAGCGAGATACGCATTGGCATCGCGCTACCTTGGTCCGCCTTGCCACGGATGGCAGGGAACACATTGATACCGGCCACAGCCTGCTGGATATCCACCTTTTCCTTCGGCGGGTAGAATTGGAAGGTCTCCACCAGCTCGGCCAGGAACGCTTGCATCTCCAGAACCCTGGATCAACATCGTAGATGTCATCTAATTTGGCAGGCGGACAAGAGGATAGTCATGGTACGCACGAGAACCGCCATCCGATGCAGGCCCGGATTCCGGCAGCTACAAGCAAGGGTTAACGATGCACGAGTTTCAAGGAAAGAGTCAGTGCTCACAGAATGTCATCCTAGTGGACGACGTGATCAGTCGGCCTGACAGGACTATCAAGACCAGGACTCACAGGTTCGCGAACACGCCGACATTCGCAGGCTGCTTGGAGGTCTCAATCCGGAGGAACCGGTCTGGGTTCCACTCGTTGGCGTCCTCACCCCAGACGTCCGTCAGGCTACGAGATGCCACACAAGGTTAGTATCACGTCAGGTTGATGCTGCTATATGTGTAACAAGGAAACGTACCGTTGGTATGCCACAAAAGACGCAGAGAAAGCCTGTCCAGCCTTGACCGGTATCTCTCTGATCGTCTCGCCCGTCGTCGACACAATCGGATACGTGAGGGGAATCACATCGTCTTTGAGGGCGACGCGAGCAAGGCCGAGGGCGATCGGGTGGAACCGGAGAGTCTCCTGTAGACAACTTATGAGACGTCATCCTCGTCAGAAGTAGATTGCCTTCTAACCTTGATAGCATTGTTCGTGAGAGTCAACGAGTCAAGGTCCTCGGTGGTAAGTTCAGCCCCGCCGCACTGTGCGACCTTGGAGCGAACATCTCTGATCTCCTGACGCATGCGTTCTTGGTACTCGGGGTGCCTCGCCAGTTCGTATAGGAGGAATGTGAGCGTGGTGGAGGTGGTTTCGTGGCCACCAAGGGTGAGGGTGAACATCTCGGCGGAGAGCTCCTCGTCGTCCAGGCGCGTCTTGGAGTCCGCGGAACGATTCGCCTTGACTGGAAAATCCCTCATGAGTTCCACTGTACCCGTGAACGTAAGGAACGCTAGCGTTAGATCCTCACTGAGAATGCTCATCGCGTCCTTGCTGTTGACCTTCTTCTCCGTATCCACTTCAGGACCCTGCTCTCGAAGGATATGCTTGCCGTACTCCCGAAACATGTTATTGAGCTTGCGCATGCGGGTATAAGGATTGAGTGGAATATATCTGGTCAACTTGAGGACAGGGGTAGGAATGTAATCCCAAGCAGCACGGAACAACAAGGATGCCGTCGACGGCATGTAGCTCGCGTCAGCGCTACACGAGTGTAGTCAGCACCGCTTGAGGAGACAATAACTTCTACCGCTTACAAGATGTTCGCATAGGCTTTCGAAATCTCATTGCGTTCTCCGTCATCAAGAGCATGGTAGTTGTAATCGAACGCCGCTACAATAGCGCTTGAGTGTTGGGTGCTCACAAGAGAGGCCCGAGATGGGTGACATTTACCTTCTCCAATCACATCCAGTGTTGCACGCGACAGCCATTTGTTTAACAGCAGGCTGAGCTCACCAGTGGCCACGAGCTCTCCCTTCCATTTGTTTGAAAGCTTGAGATAAAGGCAATTCATGATGAGTACGACCTACAAACGAAGATAACAAGGAAAGGAATCGTACCTTGGTCGCGATACGCTGGAATAAAGGCAAGAAGCTTCGGAGCTGGGGCACGCTGAACGCCGGGTTCATTATCTTCCGCTGACGCTGGTGGTCGTGACCTACATCCGAGTTGCTCAACCATTGGTTCGAATGAGCGAACGTTCCAGCACATCTACACACCCCCAACCGCCGCTATGCCGGGACCTGCTAGAAGCCAATTTAGGAGATTCTGGGACATCTTCTTCGGATAGTTGTAGCCTGACTTTTGGAATACGTGCTGGATAGCCTGAGCGGAGAGCACACCGGTCAGTATCACACTCCCAAGTCACCTCGATGCCAGTGATGCAGCTGGTGCCGTACCTTGGGATCTGCACTCATGATAACATCCGTCTGCACCAAGCGTTAATCCTGAAGCGAATGTGACATAACAAAATTTACTCTACCCCGAAGGCACCTCGAACTCGCCAAGTAGGACCATACTCTTTCATCCACTGTATGTCTAGGATACCCGCTTCTTCTTGACGGGCGATCACGGGGTCATGACCTGAGCATGTGCGAGTCAGTGTGTATCACGTTGGAGAGGTTAAAAGCTTGGACTTACCGAGAATGAAGGACGGGGACGGGGGGCCACGGATATGCTTTATGCCGCCGCGGTTGAATAAGCGAAAGACGAAGAGGAGGGCGCCGACCGCAAGGAACGCTGCTGGCACATAGAGGGACATTGGTGGCCGATGTATCAATAGCTACTACTGCCGATGGGGCGAGGGGTAGACGCCTTCTACACTTTGAAGGCGTAGCTTATATGCGAAGGGTTCAGCATCCGCACTCGCTTCTACTGTTATCTTAACGAGAGGGGAATATCGTAAGAGCAGTAATCGACGGCGCTGTTTTTGTCAACGTGCGCTCACACAGTGGAAAAGAACCCTTGTATGAAGGCCAACATGACACCAATACGTCGCGGCGATGCAGCTCGGTAGAACTCGAAATAAGACCTGCTTACACTTCAGGTCCATCGTGTAAAATTTGGCCCATCTGACGATACCCGGCTCACGTTTCCCGCCTGTCTGGAGGCATCACGCTCGTCAGCCTGCGCTTGCTACCATGTCTTTTTCCAACCGAAAGTTATGTTGATGGGTTTGGTCCTTGAAGAGTCCCCGGCATTCATTCATCGGTTCAATTCATCAGTAGGTAAAGTGGAAATACATAGTATACTTACCTACCTCCAGAAGCGGCCTTCTCGCGCATGCTGATAGGACCCCATTGACTGAGCTAGGCTGACTATCTGCCGTGCGCGACGCAGGACACATCGAGGCAGGCAGGCACGCTTTAGTAGCATATGACGCGGCTACAGCTTCATTTACGGTATTCGAAGGCGTCCGCGATGAAAGAATCCCGACGCTCAATTCGCAAGCGATTCTCGTGTGAAAGGCATGCTCATAGGCTGGTAGTATCTGGAAACATCAGATTGCGCTTGACCAATCGCAAGGCTTTGCTTACCAGGAGATTATCTCGGTGCAAAAGCGAGACTAGAAACTGTACTTCCCGGACGATGGATTGCAGTTTATGTTACAAGCAGCGTGAGTGTACACCGCGATATCCCGGTCCCGGGGATAGCACTATTGAATCTTTGTAAGCGAGCTGACAGGGATTGTCTAGGTCGTGCTCACCCTCTGCTTGAAGATGTGGTATGTTCTTAACCTTCTAGTTTGTAGATTGTGCTCAGAAGGTACTTACATACTTGATGGCGGACTCGGAGTCAACAGCCGTGGGAACTTGCGAGGTTCCTGCATTGTGCGGTAGTATAGGCGCCCATTCTGGCGACCACACGTTCGGAGCTTTGAGCGGAATAACAGAATGGAGAGTACATGGAGCTGCAGCAGTGTTTGACATTCCTTGCTGTGAATGGTACCTCTGAGTTAGTGGTGCGGTAGGAGTAAAGTACGGTCCCTCCAGGCTACTCCCAGCGAACCGATACATCCTCGTCTCGGCACCAGGCAGCATCTCCGAGTCATGCCGGGTCTACGATAGTCTCCGCGACATCCTCGGACAAGATCAGTAGCGAAACGATATCACGGATCTGGCGTGTCGTGCAACCTCCCGACCAAGTAGCAGCCCACCAGGTTGTGAACCGCATCCTCGACGGCCACGACCTCTCGTGGAGCATTCTGCATTCCCCAACCGAGTCCAAGCTCCAACCTAGACCGCCTTCGAATTGGGAACTGCATTATCCACCCGAGGAGATCACCATTCCGGTCAACTTCCCACCGAGCTCGTGGACTACAATCTCAGGACCTGGTCCCCTCAGGCAGGCGAACTCAACATCCCCGCGCCGGTTACCTAATCCTTCTCAGTAATGAGTCGCAGGCGACTCGTCGTCGATCTCTCACTCCGATCATGCGCCTTTTTCATCTTATACAAGCTCGCCCTCTGAGCGCCGTTCTCATTCTCATTCTCGAAGTGGGCCACGCGTGCCGTTATCCGTCCTCCCATCTGCTTCTTCGTCAGGACCCATTGTGATCTCACCACCCACAAGGACTCACTCTTCCACCCCTGCCACCAGATCCCCCGCCAACTGCGCGACCCAACCACACAGGTAAGGACCCCCATCACCCTATCTCCCACTGCATCTCCCGTTCCCGTACCCCTCTCCGTACCATCTCGCCGAATGGATAGGGAGACGGGTACAGAACGAGGCAGTGAGAAGGAGAAGTCGAGGGCGGTGCTGCATGGACATAGGGAGTTTGTGGTGCTGAATCCAGATCAGTATTTCATGCATGCTCCCCTTCCCAAGCACCGCGCTCAGGAGGACTTCCCTCTACTCCTGCTCCTAAATCGCGCCGTGGGACGGCTCCGAGCCATCGAACTCGTACGGCCTCCAAGCATACGCCTGAGCCAAGACACCAAGACGTTCCTTCCGCCTGTAGCCCGCCTTCGTCTGCGTCCACGGCTGCTGCACGAGGCCAAACGCTCGATGTTGCATTGAGTGCCCCTCCTGGCTTGGACACCAACAACAATTCCACAAGTCCTGCGTCATCCCCTCAGTCTCTTTCCAATATCACAGGGTACACGCGTAAATGAGTGGTGGAGAAGAATGGGAAGCGCTTGACTCAGGACACCGCGGTCGTCGTACAACAGCTGCGGATGTTGCGGTGAACTATTCTACCCTCGTGCGGGTTGGGTGGAATCATGGATGGACGTCGGGCAGTCAGGGTTGAGCACGACCAATGCAGGCGTGGTCGTCATGCATCTTTGCACAGAGGGTGTACATCAGCAACGACACCGTGCCTGGATATCAGTGGAGGGGACGATTCTCGGTGCCTTGTGAGTTCATTATCTTGCTCCGTGTGGCTATGCAGGTTCAACACTGAGTTACACGCTCATCAGTTTCATGGGTGCTGGACCCGGTCTGGATCCAGATGCGTGAACGGTGAGGCGATGAGCTGAGGCGCTCAGCGCTTCGTCCATTATGGTACAGCTGGTTGCGAGATTTATGCCCGACCAACTCCGACGCAGTTTCGACCACGAGAAAGTCAAAGAAATCGAGAAAATCAAAAAAAAATTCGTGCGCTCGCCATTTTGTTCCCCTGTGCTCTATGAACTTATATAACATTTGTAGAAGCGAGTATGAGACCTCACGAACTTGAATGGAGAGCGTAGGACTCCTGGCACCCGACTTATGCCTATCGAGGGAAATCACTGGAGGTTTCCTACGGGCGATGAGGTTTCTCACTCAGCCATCTGCGCGCCGCCTTGAAATGTCTCTTATAAAAGTATGTGGCTGATTCAGACTAGGTTTTGTGGGTTTACAGGGAGATTTGACACGTCCTTAGCCAGAGCAGTAGGCAGTCTGCCTGCTGGCTCTTGCTGCCTGCTGGCTCTTGCCAGCGCATCAAGCGCCGGAAGAGGTTCAGACATCGGCATATCTTTGTGACTCTCGTGGGCTTCAATGTTGTTTCCCCGCTCTGATATCTGCAAAAAGTATGTTTAGGTGCTCTTGATACCTTTCCAGTACGACCTTTGTCAGCAGACACATCACCAACACTATGCAACGCCGGCAGAGGTGGTGTTTAAGTAGCACCTAATTCCAGTTTTCTCAAGGCTCCCTTGCCACACAACTGTCTGTAATAGTCTATGTCTGTCATCAACGCTGTTTTAGAGGTAAATTACCATCCAAATTTTGTCTCTTCCGTTCTCGAGAGCCTGTCTGTTCGCTCCGGCCTACCTGCGCAAATTAGCGCCCGTGAGGTCCTTGCAAAGAGCCTTCTGTGAACGTCGTGGATGAGTAGCCTACAACGAGGTATGTAAACCTCTGGGATATCGGGCCAGGGAGGTATGAGACCTCCCAGTCACACATATGATTGGCTGTCAGCCTGGGACATCAATACGGGCATATCAGATCTTGATAGCTAGAACGGTGTACGTACTCGAGGCAACTTCAAGGAACTCGAATAAAAAACATACTCCCTCTCAGGAGTTCTCAGTAATTGACGAGGCAGCATTCGTCCAACAGATGCAGAGTGTTGTGCGGGCGTGGTGGGAGAGGAGGGTGGGGGACGTGCAACATGGAAGACCACCGACGCTGGCGCTACCGTGGCGCATCAGCGCGCAATTTTTGATGATCAAAGTGCCCAATTGGTATTGTGGCGCTTGATGCGAGATTTTAGGGTTTGCGCGAAGAGGACCCGCCATTCGTGCTCCCTCCCCTCCCTCGCTGCGCTCGGGGGGTCCCCCGAGCCGGGAGCACTCAAGCGGGCACTCTAAAGCCTCGTTCATCAGCAAAAGTGTAAAAATCTTTTGCCGTATTGCCCGTTCAGGCAATACTCAGTGAGAGCGCGCAATACACGTCAGATCATGCGCTGTCATGGGTGGTCTTGCGATGTCGTAGATATATTGCAAGACCTTGCAATATCCCACAAGACCAGGCAATATCGGCAATACTAGGCAATATTTCGCATTATTGCAGGTATTGCGAGGTATTGCCGGTATTGCGCGCTCTCGGAATACATTTCTGGTATTGCAAGACCGTGCCACAACCGGCGCTTCAGGCAATGTCCGCAATCCTGTAGGATATTTTACACTTTTGCTGATGTTCGCGCGATAAATACAGACGGCCTCCCCTCTTGGGGGAGGAGGAGTTGTGAGCAAAGCCTAACCCAAACCCAAGCCCAAACCCGAACTGAACCCAAACCCAAACCCCAGTGAAAACGTGCGTGATTTCAGTCGATTTAGAACGGGTCAAGTCGCGTCCAGCCGTATGCGCTCGTGCCGTGTCTGTCACGGACGTTGGACAGACACCCCTTTTTGCCGCCCATTCCCCTCCCTTTGACGCTCACCTTCCATTCGCGGACCATTTCCTTTTCTAGCCCATCCCAATTTGGACACTGTAGATACGTTCCCACAGCCGCATGCTACGTTCCCGTGATCGCCATGCCCTTGCCTTTTCTTTCTCGCCCTTTGTTCTCTCTTTGTCATCTTCACTGCCTCGCTCTCGCGCCTTGTCCTTGGTTGCTAAGCAGCCCCTCTAGTATATAAGGACCCCCTTAGGCGCTCTCTAGTCCCCATCTCGACCTCTTGGTCATTGGGACTAGGTGAGTGACCATAGCGTTGTATCTCTCTTCGAGTGCTAATGTATAACTTGG